CTTTTCCGGAGGCGCAAAAGCCCAGCCGGAGCCTGGGGAGTCTCTGGGTGGGAGAAGGCTGGTGCCACGCAACGAGCGGCAGGCCGAGAACAGCTGCTGGCCGCCCTCGGCACACCAGAGCGGGGGGCCGTTTGTAACTCGTTCTGCCCCGATTTTCAGATCCAGCTGAAGGGCCTGGATCACGATGCTGCTGGGCCGCCGCCCATCCTCGCCAAATGGCTACGGAAATCCCTTGCCGGAAAAAGTGAGGTGAGGATGTGGGGGCGGCACCCCGGGCCTTTGCCCTATGGTTCTGGGTTTGTACAGCGCCTAGCGCCGGGCATCTGGGGGGGTCCTGCACCGTGGCCAGGGCACATGGATGCTACCATAATCCACCTAATAGCAATACAAATATATAGTGCCTGGCACAGGAGGGTCCTGCTCCATGGCCAAAGTGCCTAGGTGCTACTGTAATACACCTAGTAGCTATACACATGAACAGCACCTAGCGCCATGGGGGCCTGGTCCATGGCAGCTACCGTAATGCACCTAGTAGCAATAAGAACGTACAGCACCTGACATAATGGGGTCCTGCTCCATGACTGAGGCTCTTAGGTGCTACCCTAAGTCCACTGTGGATAAATCCCTGGTCAGTTGCACACTGGGGCATGGGAGCCAGTTGAGATGAGGTGGGGGAGGGGCATCCTGAGCCGCTGAGAAGGAAAGACACCGCTGGGATAGTAGTGAACTCTGTGCACATCTGTACATGTGCACATGTCTGTACCCGCACACACCACTGCCCTCTGCTGGCTCGAGTCAACAACACTACAACCCTGTGTCCTAGCCCTTCTAGTGCTGACAGGTAGCGGCGATTCTCCTTTAGCCCAAGTGACCCGAGTTCTATCCCCTGCCGCTGCCACGCAGCCCCAGCGCTCCGTGCCAGGCTCTGAATCCGCGGCTGTGACAAGCTGTAATGCCCACTTGCTATTTCTCTGGTCCCAGGAGTCTGCCAGATGCCTGGAGGGAGGTCTGATCTTCAACCTCTTCCATATACTGAATGAAGATCTGAAGAATGTTGCCTACAAGTTCAATGAGTCCTGCCATTGAAACCCTGCTGCTGTCAACCTGCCCTGCTGCCGCTAGACCAGACATCTACACAACTGAATGGGGAGGAGGTGGGGGAAGAGAAAGTCTGGATGGGACCGTCTATATTTTTAAGTATTGTATTTATTACGTACCAGGAGAAGATCCTGGCTGATGACTGGCTGGAAAACAGTCACACAATGTAGCTTTCTCCTGGCTCGCCTTCTCAGGTCAATGTCAACCCCTCAGATTGCATTTGTGAGTTAGCAGACCCTGCCGGCCTCCTCGGAGATTTACTAGCCATTCCCTTGGCTAATTTCCTCTCCTTTAAGAAATTACGGCCTAACGTTTTCGAAAGGGACTCGCGATCAGCGCTGGTCAAAGCACGGCCAGTTCCGTGGCTTTTTATCCCGGATTTGCAAACTCACTCTGAAGCAGGTGGACAGCGTTGTTGGATTTTCAAACTGTTGGATTTTCAAAACTCGTGATTCTGACATTTCCAGTATTTCTCAATGTTTTCATTTAGACGGTGCTGGTTTCTGCTCACTGGTGAGTGAACACAGCTGGTTTCTGCTCACTAGTGAGCGAAATTCAACCCTGTGTAGAAGGCGCGCATGGCTACCCAGGGGGTGAATTTCACTCCTGCAGAAGAAATTCTGCATTCGTGTTTTGAGGTTCAATCTGCCGTCCCTGGCTGCAGCACTGTTACAGAATTGTGTGTCTTATTTATGTAATTTATTTTCAGTCCCTGGAATTAGCGGGGTAATTGTTGAAACTGGAGTTTGATTAGATATTTATTTATTCACGGTACGTCATCTATGACTTAGATCATCTGTTAAGAGAGACCTTCCATCCGACATGGTGCAATGAGCCGACTTGTGTGTGTGTGTGTGTGTGTGTGCAATGCTGCCCTCTGCTGGGGGGATTGAGAACTGCTCAGACATATGTCATGTGCCCTGTACCGCTAATGGAGGGGGTATTTTAATAATTATTTATTATGCGAGTGGCAGGGAGCCTGTGATTTCAGAAGGGGGGAGAGAATCTGAGCTCTCTGCACTGTGCCATTTTGAGTGATGATGGGAGACATTTCGCTCGGTCCTCGAGCCTTTTCCTATTGCTGTGTTGTGCCTTATGTCAGTGTTAATAAAAGGGCTGGTTAAAAAAAAAAAAGACCACGTATTTCTTGTCATCTGCATCGCCCTAGGGCTTGGGCCAGGCTGGGAGAGCAGTTCCATTGGCATCATTCTTGGGGCTTTCTAACGCCATCCCCAAAGCAGCTGCAGAAGGAAAAGACACGGGGCGGCTTTGAATAAGACACGGTGGTACAAGGACCAGCAGGGATCAAACCCACCACCTCTGGGTCTTGCCGCTCTGGAACAAGGCCCAGCCACAGGGATCGAACCCATGAATTTAACAGCACAAGGCCCCGGCAATTTAGCCCAGGCTACAGCCACCACGGGAAGGGGACAGCGCGCCACCAGGAGCAAACAGGAGTCCACTCCTACGAGGGCAGCGGGTTCGTTAATCATTTCCCGCTCTTGCTCTGCTGCTGGGATCCGTCCAGAGAAGCACAGGGCCCAGACTCTTGTACCAGGTTCTCTCCCCTCAGCCGGGGAATCCCCCCGCTCCGAGGTCAGGCCCGACACCGATTCGCTCTCACTTTCCTTTTCACCCCTTTTGAACCCAGGGAGATCTAATGACAGCCCAGAGGCAGAGCCCCGAGGCAGAGCCCCCCCAGAAGGCAGCAGGGTTGAAGACAACAAAACTACCTGTGGAAACGGACCACCGAGGGCTGGGCGCATCGTTGTAAAAAAACCGCCATCCTGATTTTGCTACCGCGCTCTCAAGGAGCGGGAAACTCCCAAGCAGCTCCAGGCCGCCGGGAGCCTTGGCCTCTCAACAACGCGCCAACCTGCTCAGGACCTGGCCGGTGGGGCCCCCCGGCTCTGGAAACCAGTGGGGTTGACACTCACCGGCCAGTGCAGCCACAGCAGCCCCGGCATTTTCAGTAGCTTTGCTCCAGGGATGGGTTTATTTCTCCAAGTCCGAACAGCTCAGCGTAAGTCAGGAGGGGTGACTGGGAGCCCCCGAGCTGTTCCTTGGCCTCTTACCCAAGACCCATCACCTGGGAAGCTTCTAATTAGTGCCAGGTGGTGGTGAGCGGCTAAGCCCCGCCCCAGCCTGGGAGGCTCCTCCCACCCGAAGAAAACCACGCCAGGAAAGTAACCACCCCGCAGCAGCTCTCCAGAGGCTGCTCGCCCGCAATAGTGAGGGGTCTGCAGGACTGAGAGCCCCCCGCCCCCGGGGACTCCCCCACGAGGCCTCTATAGACAAAGGCAGGGCTGTTCTCCCAAGGAAACTGACACCCCCAGAGATTTTACTGTGCGGGGGGGTAGATTTTCAGAGCTAGTAGCAACCAGCCGCCCTGTGTCCTCCCCCCCCCCCCCAATGGCTTGTTCAAAGTGACTGCTGGAAAAGCGAGGACTCGAACCAGAAACACCAGAGAGCCAGGCCAGCATCCTGATCACCAGGATGGTCTCCCTTGCATACAGAAGGGCTTCAAAAATAAGTTCATCAGTAACAATGCTTCCCTTCGCTGTCCCTGCTATTCCCAAGGGAACACAGGGTCTCTAGCAGAGAGGATTAGGCTGGGTTTTACAAAGGGATTTAGGCACCGAAAGCAGCTAGGCACTTCAAGGGGATCCTCCTAGGTGCCTCCTGCTGTCCTTAGGGGCTTACCTGCTGGTAGAGATCGGGCCCCAGGTTTCATCCGCTTGGCTCTGGAGCAGATCTTACGGGGGGGAGAGATAGCTCAGTGGTTTGAGCATTGGCCTGCTAAACCCAGAGTTGTGAGTTCAATCCTTGAGGGGGCCATTTAGGGTTCTGGGGCAAAAATTGGGGATTGGTCCTGCTTTGAGCAGGGGGTTGGACTAGATGACCTCCTGAGGTCCCTTCCATCACTGATAGTCTATGATTCTATGTTTACAGAGCTGCCTGGAGAAGGCAATAAGCTTGGCTGGAAGCAAAGGATCAGACTACCTCACACACACCTGGTTCGGGGCCATGACCCGGGGAGGAGGGGAATGGATAGCCGGGGGAAAGCACACACCTGTCACGGTGTGGGGAGCTTATCAGGTGTCATTCCAGCTGGTGGGGGTGGGGGGAAGGGGAACTGCTCTCCCTCCCACTCGAGGGTGAAAATGAAGCCCTGGCATCCTAGGGCTGCAGGAAAGGCAGGTGGTGGCTGCTTGGGGAGTCCCCGGAGCAGCCCTATGCTGGGGCCAGGGCAGCGCGTTGCTCATTTTTGCTCTGCCTTACAAACAAGGAAACTGAGGCACAGAGTGAGTGAAATGACTCACCCACAGTTGTGCGGCACAACCAGGAGCAGAACCCAGGCGTCCTGACTGGAGGGACGGACTGGGAGTCAGGACACCTTGGTTCTCTTCCCTGCTCTGGGAGGGGAGCAGGGTCTAATGGTGAGAGCAAGTGGAGGCAGGACTCCTGGGTTCCATTGCCCGTGATATCTAGTGGTTACAGCACAAGAAGTTTGGGGAGTCAGGACTCCTGGATGACCTCCGTGCCCTCCCAGGCCAGAGTTTCCCTAGCTATAACATGAGGGGGAGGACAATAACACTTCCAACTCCTCCAAGCCCATTGGGGGACCGCGGTGAGTGACCCCACCTTTCCAGGGGGAGCAGCCCCCCAACCACCTTAGCTGCCACCCCCCCCCCCCAGGTGCCCATGTGAGGCCGCGGTAGGGGAGCTCCCTTGGCAGGACACACTGTCCTCCACTGTGCCACCAGCTTTCCCTTTTCCCACCCTTATCACACCCGCCCCCAGCATCCTCAGGCTCCCCCGCCACGGCAGGGCCCCAGCCTCGGAAGGGGGGCTCTATAAATGAGAACCGCTGCGGAGGCTCCCCCATCGGCACCGGGACGATGGCCACCGCTCACACCCTGCTCCTCCTTCCTCTGCTCCTGGCCTTGGCTTGGGCCCAGTGCCCAGCCCCGGCGGATCTGAAGAACGCCGACGGGAGCAAGGTCTGCTCCCAGCTGTACGTCGACGACAGCCCCTACTACGCCCAGTGCTGCGGGGGCGACGTGCTCCAGGTGCAGCCCGGCGACGACATTCCCTACATACCGCTCGGCTGGAACGACAAGATCTCGTCCCTGGTGGTGGCACCCCTGTGTGAGCTCAACGTCTGGTCCAGGAGGGGCAAGGAAGGCTACAACCGCAAGTTCAAGAGCGGGGTGGTATATCGGCTGCGGGAGATCAAGAAGGGGCTCTTCGGGGACTGGGACAACTCCATCTCCGCCTACTACTGCAAGTGCTACTGAGGTGAGGCCAGGGATGAAGCAGTGAGACCAGGCCTCCAGCCGGGCCAAGCCTTTATCCCACCGCTCACACCAAATCTCCAGCTGGGCCAAGCCTTAATCCCACTTCTCACACCAAACCGCTCACCGGGCAACCGGCACCCCTGACTGCTTTGGTATTCAGTGCCTGCACACCACCATGCTATCCGCCTCCAGGAACAGCTGCCCCACGGCGCCTGAGTGATTGCTGCCAGATCACAGCCCCATGGGTTCGTGCCAACATCCCCATCCCCCTCTGTGGCGGAGGCTTCTGGGAGGGCTTTAGCCCAGCTCTCGCAGGTGTACTGTTTGTCTGAAACCTAGGTGATTTCCCGGCAAGAAAACGCTAATGGAAAAGCATCTCAGCGTCAGAGAGCTGTGCAGAGCGGCTGGTAAATTCCCCTTTAACTTGCAAACCCCTTTGCGGGGGGCTGTGTTAAGCTGAACTTTATCCAGCACCTATCGCGGTCTCGGCGATACCAAATAACAATCAGTTGATATTAACAAATAGACTACGAGCTTTGGCTTTTAGCTGGTCTGAGTGACCCAATTCAGCATCCATTTAGCAGCCAGAGAGGTTAAATGCTCTACTTAATACTTCCAGGCAACTGTAATCTTCAAGCACATAGGCCTTGCTTGGTTTTACCCCCCAGATCCAATTCTCTTCTAACCCTCTCCCCCACACCCTGGCTTTTATCACGCCTTTCCCTGCAATAAACAGAACTGCAATGATGAGACAATACTAGTAATTGCTAGCTCTTCCAGCAGCAGATCGCAAAATGCTGCACGAAGGAGGGCGGTAGCAGGATCCCCATTTCACACATGGGGAAACTGAGGCATGGAGCAGGGAGGTGACTTGTCCAAGGTCACCCAGCCAGTGAGTGGCAGAGCCAGGGATAGAATCCAGCCAGGCCACGCTGCCTCTCTCATTTTCCACTCAGGGTTTAGCTATCTCAGCCGGTACTCAAGGGTCTAAGCCCCTCGCAATGCATTTATCCTCCAGCGAGGCAGAGCAGCGCTAAGATCGCTATTGTACAGCTGGGGAAACTGAGGCACAGAGCAACTCAGGCCAGGTCTGCGGCGGGAAGTTTTGGCAAATGCCGGTGAGGAGAGCGGTGGCTGGGTGCGATTTCTATAGTGGCAAAGACTGTAGTGTCCATGCAGCGATATCAGCGTAAATGCCCTTGTACCTGGTGAGACAGGATTCCCGGGGTGCAACCTGGGACTGTAGGACCGCGGGGCCCCCTTGTCTCACTACCCTGGGGGTTGTCAGTGCCTTACCGGTGGCAAGCACCAGGTGCTGTTACCACTCAGTCCAACGGCGTGTGGAGTCCCGCACCCGGCTAGATTTCATGAATCCCAGAGCCATTCACGGATCACACAGAGAAAGGCACTAGCCAGATCCCCCCAGATCCCAGCTCTGTATGTTAGGAATATACGGTCTGGCCCTGCTCAAGACCCTTTCTTGAGCAAGGCGAGTTTATTCATTGGTTCACCACGTTGTCACTGGAAAGGGATGGTAAACCTGGGCAGATTTACCAAGCACTCCAGTCAAAACTCACCGGTAAGGAGCAACAGTAAATTGATTACAAAAAGACAGATTTAAGTCAGGGGTTCTCAAACTGGGGGCCGGGACGGGGTCGCGAGGTGTCAACCTCCACCCCAAACCCCACTTTGCCTCCAGCATTTATAACGGTGTTAAATATATAAAAAAAGTGGTTTTAATTTATAAGGGGTGGGGTCACACTCAGAGACTTGCTATGGGAAAGGGGTCACCAGGACAAAAGTTTAAGGGCCACTGATTTAAGCGATTACAAGTGACAGGAAAGTCGGAGTTAGTTACCAGCGAAAATAAAAGCAGCGCACAATCTCAATCCTAAACCCGTAAGGCACTTGGCAGGGTTTCGATCAAGCAGGTTTCTCACCCCGTTGCATGTTTCACCCTTGAGACCTGGGCCAGTCCCCCCCGGGTTGGAGTCTTCAGTCTTCCAAGCATCCTTGTTGCTTGCAGCGTGGGGGGGGGGAAGGAGAAAAGTGAAGCCGGGGACCCTCCCGTGTTCTGTTTTATACCCTAAATCCATGCGCTTGGAGAATACAAGTCGAGACATGTCTGGGGGGTGCTGCCGAATTTCCAGGCAAGGTTGAGCAATTCCCCTGGGGTGGCCTTATGCAGGTGAGTCAGTGAATTGTAACTCCCTTGCTGGGCAATGGCTGTTCGACACCCACCCGGGCATTGGTCACTTCCCTTGTTCGTGCCTCTGGGGATTTAATATCTGGGCGATTCCCCAACTCGCAGCATATTTTAGTGACACCCGGCCAACGCACGCTCATACCGTCATAAGCACCAGGGATGTACAGATTTAGAGAGAACAGTGGCTTTCAGCAGATCGTAACCTTTCCCGCGATACCTCGCAAGGCATGCTTTAGATGAAATGTCACAATTATCTAAAATGATGGATATGGGGTTTATAGGGCTCTCCCCCCAGGTCCAGAGTGTAGCTTATTTCACCTGGGGAACTGGGACAAGCTCTATCTGCCATGGCAGGCTTCTGCTGGTATCAGAAATGGAGCTTTGGTCTCCCAGGTCTTAGGTGGGAGCCCAAACCACTAGACACCTGGGGTAGGGGCTGTTTATACAGGGATCCTTCACCAGCTGCTCAAATGCAGCCGTCTCTGGGGTGGAGCGCAGCGGCTGTTTATACAGGGAACCCTCGCTCAACACTAGGTTGCAGCCACATCTGGGGTGGGGGTAGCACTCAATAAAGGCTTGCTGTGGTGTACCACAGGGGAAGGGAGAACTGGGGCTGAGGCCAAGAAGACAGGCTGTAGGCTCACAGGAAGCACCAGAAATTCTTTAATGCCACTGCTCAGGTCCCATCTTGACTGCAGCCTCCCAGCTCCCCTGCAAGTATCACCCCATCAGGCAACTGGGGCACAGACCTGATGTGCCTTGACTCAGTGTCACACACTGAGCCAGAATCAGAAGTGCAAACCAGGAGGGCTAACCACTACACCCCACTCCCCTCCCAGAGCTGGGAATAGAACCCAGGAGTCCTGTCTCCCAGGCTGCCCCACCCCCACTCTAACCACTATGCCTCCCCTCCCAGAACAGGGAATAGCACCAAGGAGTCCTGACACCCATCCCACACCCCTGCTCTAACCCACTAGACCCCACTCCCCTCCCAGAGCTGGGCATAGAACCCAGGAGTCCTGGCTCCCAGACCCCCCTGCTCTAACCACTAGACCCCGCTCCCCTCAGGAACTTTTATTAATCCCTTTCCTTTGGAGCCATCCCAGCAGCGAGGCTGACCTGACGGGCCCCACGCAGCCCCAGCTTTGCCCCCAGGGCACAGAGAGGGGGCAGGGCTCTTGGCTCCCAGTGAATCCAGCGCCGATCTTTGTCTGGGTGCTGTCGTCAGCCCTCCGGGGGAACAGAAACCGAACCGCGCCCGCCCCCGGCCCATCCGTCCGTCCGTCAGTCCCGCAGCTGCACGGAGACGCTGCTGTCCGTCGCTCTGGTGCGGCAGAGCCCGCCTGGCGTCTCGGCGTTCAAGGTCCGGTGCTGGAAATGGACGTAGCGCACTCCCGGCCCGTAGCCGTGGAAAACGTGGGAAACCTTCGAAAGGGCGAAACCATCAGGACCTGAGCCCATGGCCCCAAGGAGACACCGAGCCCCACCTCTGGTGCCCCGTCCCTGTCCCCGTCTCCCCCTCTGGGCTCAGCCCCACTCCCCGTCTCCCCCTCTGGGCTCAGCCCCCACCACTGCCCTGGCAAGGCCCAAGCCCCCTGTGACCAAGTGGGAAGCAGCTGTAATATTTGCATGATGCCGATGCGTGCCTCAGTTTCCCTAAGGGGTCATGCCCAGGAGACTGGGACCTAGCCCAGACACTGTGTATCCAAGTCACCCCTTCCCCCTGCTACCCCTGAGCTGTCTCGCCCCTCTCCCCGCCCCCCCTTCCCGCGGGTGGGGAAGGGAGCGTCTCCCTTACATGGCACCAGTTCTTCTCCTCCCGGGACGCCCCGTGCTCGGGGCCCTCATGGTGGAATTCCCGCAGGGGCGTCTGCCCGTCGCCGGCCAGCAGCCGGACGTGCAGCTGGTAAACGGTCTGAGCCAGCCGGCTGTCCTCGTACCTGCACCGGAGCAGAGGGCAGTTAACAGCAGCCAAAATCTGGGGTGGTCGGGGGAGTTGGTCCCCATAACAGGGGTGGGGGGGAACGAAGGTCGGGGAGGGGGGCATAAGGGAAGCTCAAGAAATCCCATTTCTGTCTGGCAGCTAGTAACCACACGAAGCCACAGCTGTGACCCAGCGTTTCATCAGCAGAGCTCACAGCACCTCCCAGAGGGGGGCAGGATCATGATCCTCATTTTACAGGCGAAGCCTAGGCTAGAGTGGGGGAGAGGGAGGCAGGACTCCTGGGTTCTGTCCCCAGTTCTGGCTCGGGGAGGGGGTCCAGCAGTTAGTGTTGGGGGCGGGAGTCAGGACTCCTGGGTTCTCCCCCCAGCTCTGGGAGGGAAGCAGAGTCTGGCGGTTACAGCAGAGAGGATGGGGAGCCAGGACTCCCAAATGATCACGGGCGGGGAAACTGAGGCACAAGAGACGGGGCGGTCGCCCAGGAGGTAGAGCCAGGAATGGAACCCAGGTGTCCTGATTCTCAGCTTAGTGCCACCCCCACTGCCCTACTGTCCTTCCTGCCCATAGCCTGGACATGGCTCTGCGCAGGGCGTGGGAAAGGACACTGAGCCCCCTTCGGCCCAACCAAGGCACTGCACCGCGGTGCCCCATGCCCTGGCCAGCGCCCCCAGGGGATCCAAGGCAGGGCTCATATCTGGCCCTGGGGAGCTGGACCACGGACCGGGGGAGGGGAGCCATGGCAGCAACTGGGACCCGCCCCCCCGGGGCATTCAAAGGAGAGCCAGTACCAGTCCATGACAGTGATGTTCGGCTGGTAGGAGTCCAGGAGCTCTTCCCACAGCCCCTCCGCCAGCAGGTCGACCTGCTGCTGTTTCACGCACCAGCTGCAAGGAGGGGGAGGGGAAAGGATCAGGGAGGAGCGGGGCAGCCAGGAACCGCAGGGGAGGGGTGTACAGGGCAGGGGGCATCTTTCTGTTCTGTGTCCGTACAGCGCCTGGCACAATGGGGGCCTGGGCCATGACTGAGGTGCTGAGGGTCTACCATAATACACCTAATAGCAATGACAACGTACAGCGCCCGGCACAATGGAGGGCCTGAGGCGCTGAAGTGCTACTGTAATACACCTATTAGCAATGACAATGTACAGTGCCTGGCGCAGTGGGGGCCTGGGCCACGACTGGGGCACTGAGGTGCTACCGAAATGCACCTAATAGCAATGACAACGTGCAGCGCCTGGCGCAGTGGGGGTCTGGTCTATAACTGGCACACCTGGGTGCCATGGTAAGCCAGCTAATAAATAATACTCATAATTCTTCACAGAGGCTGCTGGACTCAGACCCGCCCCCTGGTTCCCTCCTGTCGCCTCAAGCGTCGGCCAGTGTTGCCACATGGGGGCGATCTACACCCTGGCCTAACCTAGGCTGGGTGGTGCTGCAGGCTAGGTGTGTAAAGTCCAGCAGCTCTAGAATGAGGCCTGCCTCCCGCTCCCCGTCTTCCCACCCCTCCCAGGGGGGGCTGCACTAGCTGGCCGGACGCATGCCCAGCTCCCTCTCTTCGGATCCAGCCCAGGGAGGCACGTGCCCAACGCGCCCGGATCTCCTGCTTGAGCTGCGCGGGCCCAGGGGGCGACAGGAGGGCCATAAACCACGTCTATGGCCCAGCCACGAGTAGCCGCCAGATCCCCAGGCTGGCCCAGGACAGATGCTCACCTGAAGCACGGAGCCTCAGAGCCGGGCTTCTTGCCAGCCTCCTGGGGAGGCAGCTTCTCGGTGCTAATGGCCCAGCCGCTGAAATTACCTTGGAAGGGTTACAAGGAGGGTTAAAAGCAGCAGAAAAAAGCCGCCCTGACAGCAATCGGGTCTGCAGAGCCAGGGGCGGCTTCTACCAGGAGCCAGGGGCACAAGAGATGCAGCTGGCACTAGGGAGCACCAGCGGCTTATATAGGGAGCCCCCCATTCAGAGCTGCAATGCAGCTGACTCTGGGGTGGGACAGGGCCGTGGTTTATACAGGGATGCAGCTGATGCTGGGGCGGGACATGGGAGCAGTTCATACAGGGAGCCCGCATTCAGCGCTGCAATGCAGCTGACTCTGGGGTGGGTCATGGCAGCGGCTTATACAGGGATACAGCTGCCCCCAGGGAAATCAAAGGGCACCCAGTTTAGCCCTGTGGGGGAGGCCGTGAAGCAGGGGTGAAGTACGCAGAGGCAGGCTTTCCTGCCTGATGCTGCCCCCTCCTGGGACACACAAGGCAGCTCCCAGCAGGGCCAAGCCCAATCCCCACGCTGCACAGCGCCCCATAGGAAGACGACGGATGGGGAGGGGGCTATTTGTTTCCTTGCCAACCAGCCCCGCCCCAGGCTCCCCTTCCCTGCACTTACCCAAGGACTCCAGTGACACCCGGGGGCTGTTGGGTGGCAGGTGGGGAGCTGGCTCCGAAATGTTCACACCTGATGGGGGGAGGGGGAAATGAAACACACAACAGAGTCACCCCTCCAGCCTAAGCACGACACCCCCCAGCCCTCCACAATCCTACCCAGCAGCCCCACCCCATCCCCACTCTCCCTCTGCCCTTCCTCTGGCTGCTTTACAGGGAGGCAGCATGGCTCAGTGGTTAGCATCGCAGTCAGGACGCCTGGGCTGTATCACAGAGCGGGGGCTAGTGGGGAGGGGCTGGGAGCCCAGACTCCTGGGATCTCTGCGTGGCTTTGGCCAAGCCACTTCCCTGCTCGGTGCCTCAGTTTAGAGTAGCCGGCGGGTGGTGGTTCTAGAAGACGCCATGGGGCAGAAATATTTGTAAGCATGTGGGGCCGGGAGGGGCGGGGGGGATGCTGATTCATCAAGCTAATGGCGCAGTCCCAGAGCAGCTGCCCTGATGGCACCTGGGGCAATCCCGGGCAGCAGGCTGAGACTGGCCTCGGAGCTAAATCCTTTCCTCCGGAGAGACAAGCCGGGACAGGCCCCTGAGCCTCCTTCCCCGCAGCCAAACTGGTTCAGCAGAGACCTCCCCAGAGACGGGGCGGCCTTCGGCCCACACGAATGAGGAGAGATGTTAACACCCGCCTGAGGGATCCCACAGCACGTCCCAAACGGGGAACCACATCACCTGAGATGCGGCTGCCTCTAGGGTGGGGCAAGGCGGCTGTTTATACAGGGAACCCTCAACTAGAAGTGAGATGCGACTTTCTCTGGGGTGGGACGTGGGGGGGGCTTTTTATTCAAAATCCCTCCCTCTGCTCTGACAGCCAGCTGCCCCTGGGGTGGGAGGTGGCAGCTGTTGACACAGGGACCCCTCACCCAGCACTGGGATGCAGCTGCCTCTGGAGGAGGGTGCAACAAGCAGTTCATCAGCTGCCCAGGACCACCACACGATGCAACCACCTCTGGGGAGGAGCACAGCAGCTGTTTACAGAGATCCCTCCCCAGTGCTGAGATGCAGCCACCTCTGGGGAGGGGCAGCTGCTGACACAGGACTCCTCTGATTAACCCTTCCCGCACTGCCTGGTCCCGGAGCGGCCCTGGGGGAAGTGCCGGCATTTGGGCAAGTTACTGGAGCGAGCGAGGCAGGTGCTTAGCGTATGGGCGGGGTAGGGGGGGTGCAGCTAGTCAGGCTCCCCCGGGCGCATTCCAGCCCACCCACGCTTGGCTCCAGCCCAGCAGCCTGCTGGGCCCTGGGAGGGGAGGGGCAGTGGAGGGATCTGAGGGGGAGGGGGGGGCTGAGGAACCTTTCAAAATAGCTCCTTGGGAGGGGAACTTTGCCTACCTCCGAGAGCCCCGCGCGGACCCTCCGCTCGCCAGGCACGCTCTGGGGTTTATTAAGCAGGGTGCCCCCCACCCCACGCCCTCACCCCCTTCCCCTACCCACAGCCCAGCCTGGCCGGCGAGAGTGGGAGCTTTGCAGGGCAGGGATGGTGTGCAGCGCCTGGCACGATGGGACCCCGGCCTTTACTGCTGTACATATCAACACCCCCCCCCCCACACACACACAGATCCTCCCCGGCCCGGTTTCCCCTGTTCCCCCCCATCCCCCCAAGCCAGGGCTGACTCGGCCCAGGAGCAAGGCCCTGCCCGAGGGATAGCGGGGGCAGCTGGCATGGGTCGTTCGCGGCGGGACAGACGTTACCTTCGGGGTTGGGATTCTGCAGCAGGTTCCTCTCGAAGGGCTTGCGTTCGCACAGGGCTTTCCAGTCGGGGTCCCTGGGCAGGGGGACCCCCCTGCGGCCCAGCTCCCAGGCCCCTTCGACCTCCTGCTGCCAGCTCCGCGGCTGGGCCCCGGGGGACAGGGGCAAGGTCTGGGCCTGCAGCTGCTGGGACGCCATGCCGAGGGGGTTGCAGGCACTTGGGGCTGGCGGAGGGAGACTGGGATTCCTGCCCGGGCCGCCCCACCCCACCCTGCCCAGGGCGGGACGCGGCTGGGGTAGGGGAGGAGGGACAGGAAGGGTGGTGGGGCAACCTCGGGGTGGGGGATCCAGCCGCGGTGAGGGTGGGGAGGTGATGACACGGGCTGCGGACAGGCGGGACACGTACACACACGTTATGCAAGCCCCAGAGGCGCAGCCCCAAGGGGAGCGTGGCTCTGCAGCGCCGGAGGGTCCCCGCTCTGCCGGGGCCCCTCACTCCTGACCCACAGCCCCCTGCTAGCCCAGCCCCGGGCTCCCCAACTCTGCCTCCCCCAACACACACCCCTTCCCAGAGCTGGGACAGGAACCCAGGAGTCCTAGCCACCCCCTCCCCCATCCTCTAAGCCACTCCTGCCCAGAGCTAGGAAAAGAAGAGAAGGGGCACGGGGGGGGGGAGCGGGGGTGCTAATGGGACCTGAGCCAACCCCAGCTCCGTGGGGGCAGGGGCCTGCACCCTCCACCAGGAAGTGGTTTGAAACAAACCCGCTCAGGGATCAGAACCTGTTGGCCCAGCCCCAGCAGCACAAAAGGAAGCCAGGCGCCCGGGCCAGCGCCTCCCACGGTCTCTTCCTTGATACCCCAGATTCCTGGCGCCGGCTGGGCCCTTGCGGCCGCTCCCTCCCACTCAGGCAAAGGGCCAGCGGGAGGCAGCAGCAGCAGCCTTGGTTGTAGCAGCTTCCAGCCCTTTCGCCAAGCGCGCGATGCCCAGAGATGCGGCCAAGGCTGGGGCAGAACATCACAGCTAACAGCAACGCCCCACCTAGCTGAGGGCCGGCCCGACCGCTTGAGCCTGACCGCTAAGGGATTTATTGCGACTGGCATAGGCACAAGGGTCGGGGGCTGGAATCACCCAGCAGCCCCTCGGGGGGCCGCAGCACCCGTGTGCGGGTCCCGGCTTTGGGTCCCCCGCTGGGCCCTTGTGGCAGCCACATACAGCAGGGCAGAGAGGGGGCCAGGCCCCGCCTGACTGAGCAGCCCCAGGATCGACTTAACCCGCCCCCCGGTCTTCATAGCCAGGGGCTCATGTGGTCAGCAGCCCTTCCAAGGGGATGTCCCACCAGGCGAGGGGATGAGCAGGGACCTGGGACCAGCTGGGATGAAATCAAAGGGCTAAAAGGGAGCTGATGCTGAGTGCGGGGGACTCGCCCCTTCCCGCCCCCCAGCAGGAGGAAGGCCTGAGGGCCCTGTCCCTCCACAAAATGGGGGCACGTGGGCCTGGGGAATCAAGCTGGGAGCCCCCTTGCAGCCCAGCAGGGGGGCCGGAGCCAGCAGGGACTCGGCCAGCCCGGATTTAAGGGATGCATCCCCCCCCACCCCCGGCTGTGACTGGCATGGGGGAGGGTGGCAGAGAGGGGACACCCTGCCTTTCTGAGCCTCCGGCACCTACAACTAGGCAGGAGGCTAAGTCAAGGCCCCCCCCAACACACACCCCCCTCCCCCCAAATTTCAAGCACCTGCCTCCCCCAGCCAATGCCAACGGGGGCTCTCAACAGCCTTTTGGAGGAGTGTAGGGGGACAAGCTGGGGGGGGGTTCAGAAGGACAAATCGGGGCTCATACCCCCCCTCCCACCAGTTCTAACAGTCAGCCCCTCCCCCTGCACAAAACCAGACATGGGAGACAAGGGGCGGGCGGGGTGAGTGTTTTAATTAGCACCTCGGCTCCCTCACAGCCCCCAGGACCACAACCCCGGCCCCAGCATCATAAATTGGGGGGGGGGGGGGGAGAAAGTTTGAGAAATACCCCCCCCCATATAAATACATCAAAGAAAAACAAACCCCACCTCATTAAATACAAACCGAGAATGATTAACCTTGTGCAAAAACAGCCCCGGGGCGGGCGGGCGGCGTGAGTGAGTGTGAGTGTGAGTGTGAGTGCCAGCCCACGCACCTAACCCGGCTTCCACAGGGGCTACCTGCCCCCTGGGCCACTTCCAGCCGCAGGGGCCCAACTGAGCATCTCCGGTGCTGCCCCCTTGTCACATTCGACGAGGGGGCCGGGGGAGGGCTCAGGGGGGGGCAGGAAGCCAGGCCCCCGCAACGAGGAATAGCCCAAGATCGGCCCCTGCCCAGCACCTACCCGCAGACCCCGCGGTTGCGGTGTGGGATGGGCCCGGGCGCAGCCGGGATCCAAGCCTGCAGCCGCTTCCCCCTGCTCCCCCGGGCCAGGGGTGCCCCCTCATCCCCACTGTAGCTAAGCCGGTGGGGGCGGGTAGGGCAGGGGGGGGAGAAGAGGCAGGGCGCACCCCCTCCAGTAAGGACGCGGACAGGGACACAGACACACACAGGGCAGGGCTCATTCCTTCCAGCAGGGACATGCACAAGGACGGACGGACGCGCACTCACAGTGCAGGGGCTGGGCTCATCCTTTCCAGCAGGGGGCAGCAGGGACACATGGACGGTGGCATGGGGGGGTGGGAAGCGTAGGAAGAGTCAGGAAAGCTGGGGGGGGAGCAGGGTCTTTTTGTGGGGGGGAGGTTGCTGACCCCAGAGGAGGCCCCCAGGGTCCAGGCAGCACCAAGAATGAAACAAGCCCAGGGGATGTTTGCCAGAGCGTTAGGAACTGGGGGGGTGGGGAGTCTGCCTCCCCCACCCCCCCCATCCTCACAGCTGGAGGGAGGGAGGGAGGAGCCTGAGTTAACCCTTCACGGCTCTGCCGGGAACGGACACCCCAGTGGGAGAAGTGTGTCCGGGGTGGGGACGGGGACCGGGGGGCAGGGAAAAGTGGGATCCCATGGGGTGGAAGTGCAGAGGTCAGAAGAACACGCTGAGCCGGTGCCTACCAGCTTGTGGGCAAAGGTCGGCCCCTCAGGGCTGCCCCACAGACAGTTTGGGGGTGGGGGTGCAGAAGGCCAGTCCCTCAGCCCCAGGGGCCCCCCATCCAGGCAGAAGGCTGCACACACCCTTCCGAGGGGGGCTGCTTCGGTCCCATCAGTTTCACAAGGTGCTGAGTTAATGGGCACGGGGGGGGGGGTCTCTTCCCCCCCCCCAGCAAGTTAAAAGATGGAGCAGGCTGCGTTTGCTTCAAATGAGGAGTCTCTGCTGTAGTGTCGGGGCCCGGCCAGGGGACCCCCGGCACCCCGGCTACCTGCACGGGTCCTTTGCAGCCCCAGGGAACAGGAACCGGGCAGGGGGCACCGTGGGCCGCACCAGACTGGAGCCGCCCGCAGCTGCTGCTTGGCTCTCCTGGTAGGAAGGCGGTGGGGTGGCGGCCTCTGGACTACAACAGAGCTCGGCTGCTTCCGATGGGGGGGCCAGGCCCCTGGAGAGGACGAGGGGCGTCGGCGTGGTGGAGGTGGGTGGCACGGGGCCCCCCTGGGAGCCATAGACGGCCTCCTCGTAGGACGGGAGTGGCACCGGGCAGCTGTCGACGATGCTCACCTCGGACTCCTCCATGGGCTCGTACCACCTGTACGGGAACGGGGAGACCTCGTCAAGTTCACACCTGCGCCCCGGGGCCCCAGCCCCTCCCTGCTGGAGCCCCACCACAACGGGGGTAGGACCGCCATGGCAACAGGGAATAGCGGAGGTGGAGTGCAAGGAGTCTAGTGGTTAGCGCAGGGAGCTGGGAACCAGGACTCTCCCCGACTCTGGGAGGAGAGTGGGGGCTAGTGGTTAGAGCAGAGGGGGCTGGGAGCCACGACTCCTGGGTTCTCTCCCCGACTCTGGGAGGAGAGTGGGGGCTAGTGGTTAGAGCAGGGGATTGGGAACCCTGGTCCTTACACTGACCCTGTGCAAGTCACTTCCCTTCTTGGTGGGCGTCAGTTTCCCCAGCCCCCTCCGCGCAGCCCCTTCCCTTGCAGCATGGGGCCCCCTAGTCCCACCTCGGGGTCAGCACTGACTGAACGGGCAAAGACGAGACGAGGCCAGAGGGTGAGTCAGACCCAGGCATCCCCAGGGGCTGGGCAGGAAGGGGAGAGACAGAGGGTGGGGGCTGGACCCCCCCCCCGGGAGCATCAACCAGTGGGAGAAGGGAGCAGAGGTTTGGGCCTCCTCCCCCCACGCCCTCCCCCCCCCAGCATCAACAGCCAGGGCAGACCCCCCCCCCCCTCCAGAAAGGCGGCAGAGCTCACCTCCAGCACCAGTTGCTGCAGGGTTTCGGCCCCACCAGGACGCACACCATGGCCACCAGCAGCAGGGCGGACACCGTCACCGAGGCCGCAGCCACCATGGGGATAGAGGAGACACCGAAGATGGAGCCGGAGCGAGGCACCGGGGATCCTGGGGGCGGTGGGGGGAGAGAAGGTCAGCGGGTCACCCACGGCAGGAGGCTATTTCATAGTTTCCTGCAGCGCAAAGCGGTCAGATCTCAGGTCCCAGCCCCGCCAAACTCGAGCCCGGACCCCAAGGGGATGCATTAAACAACAAGAGGCCAGAAGCACTTGAAACCCAGATGGGGGACGTGCGCCCTCCGGGCCCCAGGTGGGGCGCAGAGGCCTCTATAAAGGGAAAGTCCACGGCACCTGGCAACACCAAGATCTGGGGGACCTTCATTGCACTGGGGGCTGCCCAGACTCCAGCTGGGTCTCCCCCACTTGTGCCAGGCACCGCCCAGACCCAGAGTGAGACGCTGCCCCCCTCCCCGGCCCGTCTCACACAGCTCAGTCTAAATAGACAAAGGGTGGGCGGGGAAACTGAGGCACAGGGCGAGGCAGTGACTTGTCCAAGGTCATCCAGCTGGCCAAGGGAACAGCCTCCCACATCCCAGCGCTCTATCCACTAGGCCATGCACCCTCCCTTTAGTCAATAGGTTACAGCGGTCTGGAGCAGGGACAGCACCGTAGGCTGGGGACTAACCAGGCTGTTCTCATGTTACTGACTGCAGCTGGGTTTTACCCGCCTTGTCCCAACCGCTGCTGGGCATAAGGGAGCAAAGGCCCCTCCCACCCCCCAATTCCTGTGAGTGACAGCGTACCTCCTGGAACGGATATGGGGATGCCAGCGAGGGCAGGGAGCGAGGGAACAGCTCAGGGGCAGAGGGCTGGGGGTCTCCTCTGTGCATCCACTATCCCCCCCCTCCCTCCCCTGGGCAGGCATCACACAGGCTGCGTCCCCCCCCCAATCAAGGAGCAGGAGAAAGTTTCCACCAGCAGCTTCACACCCCCCCCCCCTCCGGAAGAGGAACGTAAGGGAGAGGAAATGCAGCCTGACCTCAGGGAGACGCCCACGCACCGTGGGTCGCGGAGGCAAGGTGCCTGGGAGCGACCACTGGCGAGCGCCTGGGGGGGTCCGTTTACCCAGCCCCCCCCGGCAGCGAGTCTCAGAGCCCCGCTCCAACGCAGCCTGGCACGCCGGTGCTAAATGCAGCCTTGTGGCTGCCACGGCTCGGGATCCGAAGCCTAGGGAGGTGGTGGGCCTGGGAGCCAGAGCTCCAGCCAGAGCCTGAGCACGTCCACAGCTCTGGTTAGCACCCGTCAGCACAGGGTCAGAGACTCGCCGTGCAGACGAAGCCTGTGGGGCAAAGGAGCCCGGGGCGACTCGCTCTGAGGCCCAGATTTTTCATGGGAGTTGGGCATCGAAGGACCTTGGTAAACCTGGAACTCCATTCCCCAGCTGCAGAATGTGGCGAATGCCTGGATTTTAGGCTTTATCGGGTGCTCTTTTTGTTGGGTGTCTGTACAGCACCTGGCACAGTGGGGACTTGGGCCGTGACAGGGAGTCCTAGATGCTACTGTAAGACACCTAATAGCAATTAAAATGAACAGCGCCTGGCACAACGTGGTCTACGACCGGGGCACCCACACACTGCCGTAATACACCTAACAGCAACAAAAAAGTACAGCGCCTTGCGCAATGGGGACCTGGGCCGTGGGTGGCAGCTCCTGGGGCGACTGCAATATACGACGAGGATACAGAGGAGGAAGTGGCAGAGAGGTCGCATTTACCCCAGCGCCCGGGCCAGCACGAGCATGGCCCCACGTCTGCCTACACCAGCAGCTGCCGCCGGGCGGCGCAAACAGGCCCTGCAAGCTGCGGCGGGGGCCCAAGAGGTACCACGTCTCTGGCAGAGGCCCTTGCCCATCGCAGCAGGAGGAGAGGATCAGCCGGGCTGGGCGCGCACTGACCTGTCAAGGGGTTGCAGACGACCGGCTTCAGCACGCTCCACTGGCCACCCTTGCAGACAGAGACCCCAGGGTGGCCGGCCAGGACGTAGCCGTCTTCGCAGAAATGCTGCACCATGGAGCCAGCCTTAAACCCGCCGCTGCCCAGAGACAGCGTGCAGGCCAAGGACACACACCTGTAGGTAGTGTGATCAGAGGGGTCCGGGAACTGGCAATCTGGAAGGGAGGAACAGGCACATTGAGGGTTAAAATCGGGGAAGGGGGGGTCCAGGATCTCCTCGGTGGGGTAAGAAGGCAGTGAAGCATGATGGGGGCTAGTGGTTAGAGCAGTGGGTTGCCGGAGGCCAGAACTCCTGGGTTCAATGCCCAGCTCTAGGCAGGGAGTGAGGTCCAGTGGGTTAGAGCAAGGGGATGGGGCATCTCTCCCCGGTGGAGTCACTGGCGATCGTGACCTCTGGAGGATGGGGAGATCTTGTCTCGCAGGGATGGCAAAGGGCAGGGTGCTGGTTTCTCTCTCCCTTCCCTCCGGACCCCAGCATCCTTCCAGACCCTTCTTTTTCCTCTTGCCCTTAGATCTTCTCCTCTCACCCCAAAATTTCCCCAAGGGCAGAGAGAGGTTAGATCCGGAGGAGCCAAGTCCCCCATGCCACTCCCTGAGGCATCTGGCTGCTCTGGGAAGGATGCCCGCCCCAGCTTCACTCCAGATTTCAGCCTGATTAGGGCTGACCTCAAAACCAGCATGGTGGGGGACTTCCTGGTTCCAGGGAAGGGATGGAGAAGTAGTGAGTCACCAACAGGGAAATGCCCGCTGCCCGCAAACCCACGGCTGAGCTGGCCGGGCTTTTACGTTCCTCATCTCGATCAAGCTCTCTCCCGAGGGCTCCCCCCAGCACCAGCCGTTGCACCTAACTTCAGCCAGCTACTGGCATCTTAGCTACCGGATTGGCGAGAGGGGCAGGAGAGGAGCCAGCAGCCAGCTCAGCGCCCACCCCACCCCCCATTCCTAGAGTTGCGGCACTGGGAGCAGGAGCTATGGGGCAGGCTGCAGAGACCGTCGGGAAAAGGGTTTTTCCGCCCAGAAATTTTTGATTTCTCAGCAAAACTTCAAGCACCCAAAACAATATTTCAATTTGGAAATGCTACTGCAGCACCTCATGCTCCTCTACAGGCCGGGCTGCATGATTGGACCATGATCCACCAGAGCCAGGATCTCCCATTTTTCACCACCTCCAGTCTCCAAGAATTGCCGCCATGTTGCATCATGGGAAGCGTAGTCTAACTGGCCTAGAGAGGCGAACAGGAGCAGGGGACACCCAGACTACAACTCCCACGAAGGGCCACAGCAGCCTGGCCAAATGCAAATATTCTGCTTTTCAGGTGCTCAGTTCTTCAGTTTAAAAAAATCCAAGTTTCCCAGGGGGGAATGATTTTTTTGCCAGAAAATTGTTGAATACCCAATAGTCAAATAACCGATTTTCCGTCAAAACCATTTTGATGGTAAGGTTTCACCCAGGAGGGGAGGGAAAGGCAGCCGAGCGGGTTTGGAAGGCGAGCACCAGCCAGTACCTTTCCTCCGGAGGACAGCACCAGAGCCGCAAAGCGCCGTGAAGAACAGAGCCGTGGGGAGGTAACATGAAGGCCGGCGCAGCCTGGGACATCCCGGAGCCTTCGCCATCTCACCGGTAGCCTCTGCCCAGAACTGCAGAACCAGTTGCAATAAGCCGACACGTTACCATCCTGTAGGACTTGATAACCCATCTTACAAAGTGAGCACCACCCCGCCCCACCCCAAGCTATGGGTCAGAACCTGGAGGGAGACACCCACTAGCTTTGGAGAAATGGGTTTAGTTCAGGGGTGGGCAAACTACAGCCCAGGGGCCGCATCTGGCCCTTCAGACGTATTAATCCAGCCCTTGAGCTCCTGCCAGGGAGCAGGGTCCAGGTTTTGCCCCACTCTGCATGTGCCATGGCTCCCGGAAGCAACAGCATGTCCCCCCTCCAGCTCCTACGCATAGAGGCAGCCGGGGGCTCCATATGCTGCCCCCACTCCAAGCGCTGCCCCTGCAGCTCCCATCGGCCGGCAACTGCAGCCAATGGGAGCTGCAGGGGCAGCGCCTGTGGATGGGGCAGCGCGCAGAGCCGCCTGGCCATGCCTCCACGTAGGAGCCAGAGATAGGACATGCCGCTGCTTCCAGGAGCTGCTTGAGGCAAGCGTCACCCGAGCTTGCACCCCTGATCCCCTCAAGTGCCCCGACCCCCTGACCGAGCCCCGATCCCCCTCTCTACCCTCAGTCCCTACCCCCCTGCACCCCAGAGCCTGCACCACCAGCCGGAGCCCTCACACCCCCACCCCTTGTCCCAGCCCCAAGCCCTCCCCCGCACCCTGAACTCCTCATTTGTGGCCCCACCCCAGAGCCCGCAGCCCCACTGGAGCCCTCACCCCCTCCCGCACCTCAACCCCCAATTTCATGAGTATTCATGGTCCACCATACAATTTCCATACCCAGATGTGGCCCTCAGGCCAAAGAGTTTGCCCACCCCTGGTTTAGTTAGAGGTTCATCAAAAATGCTTTAGATAAAAGGGGCTGGATAACCGCTGGTCTCTAGCAGCTAGGGCACGATTTGGATGTGGGGGCCACTTGCCTCGCCCTACTTGCAAGCCTGTGCCCTGGTGGGAGTCACAGCTCCTTTCTCCGCAGCCTGTGGGGGGCAAGGAGCACCCAGATCCCAAGCCACTCGCTCGCCAAGCATCTCCCCTTTGGCTTGGCCACCCACCCGGCCTCCCGGCGCTCTGAGATGCAGGGGAATTGGGGGCAGCCACGGGCTCCAGAGGTTACTGGCTTTCAAAGAGGCCTGGAGTAGGAGGGACCCCCCCCCCCCCCCCGCCCAGGTCCCCAAAAAAGGGCTGGCCATGCCAGGAGCCACGGGAGAGGTAGCACTTAGCATCAGTACCAGAGTTAAGGGCAGGACTCAAAGGGTAAACCCCCGCACCCCCAAAGCGAGACCCCAAAGGGCTCTCCCTGCCCCAGGCCAACGAGGGGGATCCAGCCAGCAACAGCTGAAGCGAGTCCCCCCACCCCACTGTCAAGGGGCACCCACACCCCCCAATATGCCCAGGGTCCCAGTTCTGGTCCCAGCCAGCCGCTCAGGGGAGAGGAGGGGAGTCAGGGGGCCTCTCTTCAAATCGGGACAGATAGATCCCTGCACCCCTGGAGAAAGGGAGACGGTAAACCCCATCCCTGCGCCCCTGGAGACCCCACCCCCCATCCCGGGGCCCCTGCACCCCTGAAGATTCTTCCCCCGCCACCTTCTGCACCCCAACCTCATCTGGGGTCCCCGTCGGCTCCCCACAGGGGGTCCCCGCGCCCCATGAGACCCCCTGCCCCAGCAGGGGCTCCTGCCTGCTCCCCATAGGGGTCCCCCTGCGCCCCCAGAGAGACCCCCCCTCACCGGGTCCTGGCGCTCCGGATCACGGCGGCCGGGGCGCTCCGGATCCGGGGTCACCCCGCAGGGCACGGGGCGCTGGGCGAGCCCCCCCCCGCGGCTCCGGCTCCCAGGCCCGACAAGCAGCGGAAGCAACTTGCAAAGCGGAGCCGGAGCCGAGCTGGGGGCGGGTTTTAAAGCAGCCGGCTCCGCCCTAGGGGCCGGCTGGAAAATCTGACTAGCGGCGGGCGGGGGGGTAATTCCCAGCGCGAGTCAATTTCCTCCCCCCGGCCTGAGCCAGCCCCCTTCTCCCCTTCCCCCAGCCTGAGCCAGCCCCCTACTTCCTCCCAGCCAATGCACTGCATCCCCCTGCACCCCCAGCCTCCCTTCTCCCCTCCCAGCCAGCCCCCTACTGCCCCCCAGCCAGTGCACTGCATCCCCCTGCACCCCCAGCCCCCCTTCTCCCCTCACGAGCCAGCCCCCTACTGCCCCCCAGCCAGTGCACTGCATCCCCCTGCACCCCCAGCCCCCCTTCTCCCCTCACGAGCCAGCCCCCTACTGCCCCCCAGCCAGTGCACTGCACCCCCCTGCACCCCCAGCCCCCCTCCCCCCTCCCCTCCCGAGCCAGCCCCCTACTGCCCCCCAGCCAGTGCACTGCATCCCCCTGCACCCCCAGCCCCCCTTCTCCCCTCCCAGCCAGCCCCCTACTGCCCCCAGGCTGTGCACTGCATCCCCCTGCACCCCCAGCCTGTGCACCGCACCCCTGCTCCCCTCCCCCCGGCCTGAGCCAGCCCCCTACTGCCTCCCACCTATGCATTGCACTTCCCCCCTGCACCTCCAGCCTGAGCCAGACCCCTACTCCCTTCCCCCCACAGCCAGTGCACTGCACCCCCCCAAATCACCCCTGCCTAATCCTCACCTGCTCCGATCAGGGTCCCACGTCTCCCTTTGTTCCCCACTCACCCGCCTCCCAGCGTCACTTTCTGCCCATCCAGCCCTGAACCGTTTTGCTTTGGCATAATGAGCTCCCAGCGCCCCATTCCGTACCCAGAATCCCCCGGGGCCCCTGCCCCCCAGACCAGCCCAGCCTCTGTTACCCAGAATCCCCAGGGCCCTTGCCTATCCCCAGTGCCCCATTCTCTGTGACCTAGATCCCCTTGGGAACCCTGCCCATCCCCAGTGCCCCATTCCTTGTTACCCAGAGTCCCTGGGGCACCTGCCTGTCCCCGGTTCCCCGTTCCCGAGTCCCCTGCCAGCCGTAGGTGCCTGCAGTCCCTGGTCTGGACATGGAAGCTTGGGACGGGAGGCATTCAGAGCCGATGGCGAGGTACCTAGGACAGATGGCTGGCTGGCCCGGTGGCAAAACACTGGAGAGCTGTGTCCTGGCTCCCCCCACCCACCCGCGCCACCCCTGGGGACCTTGTGGCCTGTCTGCACCTCACCCACTTCCCGGGCATGCCAGCACAGCACCCATCCAGCAGGTGCCAGCCGCCCCGACCTGCAGAGCCGCAGAAGGCTCCCTCCCTGCTCAGCCCTTCCCATGGGGACAATAGGCCAGGAAAGGCCCCCCAAGGAGCTACTTCCCGGGGCAAGTGTTAAAACCCATCCAGGTTTGGGGTTGGTGACAATGCTGGACAGGACCTCTCCAGGTGCAGTCAGGGCTGGGGTGGGACCCACTTTGGCAAAAGAAAACCCACCACCTGGCCCGTTTTGGTAAAAGAGCTGCCTAGCTCAAACAGGGATTCATTCAGAGAAGTCCTGGGACCTAGGTTATCCAGGAGGTCAGACCGGATGATCACAGTGGATCTATGAACCTTTCACACGAGTTTCTTCTTTCCCACCATTTATTTATTTATTTGTCCCCCCCACCCAAATGTTTTTTTGTGGAAGAAACTTTTGTTTTCCTGAAATTTTCCTTTTCCCCTCGAAATCTTTTGGGCCTTTTGGTTTTGGAAGAAAAACCCTCAGACGCTTTTGGCTTCCGGCCCTTGAAAAATGTCACTTTTCGATCAGCCAAAGCTAAAAATAAATAAAATACAAACTTGGGGGTTTTCACTGGCCAATAAAAAACTAAAATATTTCTGGCTTCCAACTGCCCCCTCCTCCGTTTTCGGTGGCCAAAGGGGAAAAAATTGGCAAAACTGCATCAGAAGTCTCGGAAAGTTTTTTTATGGAACCCAAACATTTTTCATTTCCTCCCAAATTTTTCTGGGTTAAAAAGTTGGTTTTTTTCAATCAGTTCGACCGCCCAGGTTAGTAAGTTGTTTATAACTACGCCACGTGGGTTTCGGGCTATTAATAAGAGAGTGCCCCGTTCTCGGTTTAACTATTTTGATCTAGTCAAAGCAATTCCACCAGCCGTAGCGTAGCACCATTCCTACATGGGAAGGGGAATAAGCTCTCCAGGGGAGGCACCTACAACCTAGTATAACTGCATCCGCAGACTAGCAGGCTGTACCAGTATAGCTAGACTGGTAAAAAAAATACCATCCCCTTGACAAACATCACTATAAGGAGGCCAACTTCCAAGTATAGCTCAGAACATTCTTCGAGCACTTGCTAATCATTTATAAACAGACCCATTTTGAAGCTATCAAAGGAAGTATTTCTTCACACAATGCAGAGTCAACCTGTGGAACTCCTTGCCAGAGGATGTTGTGAAGGCCAAGACTATAGTGGTTCCAAAAAAGAACTAGATAAATTCACGGAGGATAGGTCCATCCATGGCGATTAGCCAGGCTGGGCAGGGACGGTGTCCCCTAGCCTCTGTTTGCCAGAAGCTGGGAGTGGGTGACAGGGGATAGATCACTTGATGATGACCTGTTCTGTTCATGCCCTCTGGGGCACCTGGCACTGGCCACTGTTGGCAGACAGGATACTGGGCTAGATGGACCTTTGGTCTGACCTATTATGGCGGTTCTTATGTTCTTATCCCTAGACAAGGGATCCAGTAGGGAGAATTTCTGCCTTGCAGCTTGGCTTATTGGTGCATGGGCTGAGAATATGCTACCGGAGAATTTCCTACAAGTACAAACCCCGCTTTGTGCGATTCTGAACCAACCACAATTGTGTTTTAACCAGGAGAGGAATAACGGGTTGGTCTCCTATCAGGGAAGCACTGGTCTATTGCTTTCTTCTTTACAAAACGGTGTCTGGTTATCCCAGAATAGCCTATGCCAGTCAATGTCCCTCCCAGAGAGAAGGCCTAAAAAGAAGAGAATTGATGCATTGCGCGAGAACAAGGAGAATTGTTGAGACACTTCTCGAGCAAGGTGAGGGATGAGGAAAGAGAGCTCAGGGGGACGTTCTAATTTTCTGGATGTTCTGATTTTGTTTGGGGTTTTTTTTGAGTCTTTAGACAGCTGTGGTCTGTTTAGGCTGTATTATTTATTACAGGTATTACGGTAGCATCTAGGAGTCCCAGTCATGGCCTGAAGCCCCATTGTGCCAGGCGCTGTGCAGACACAGGTCTCAGCTGGGTATTACTGGAATACCTTGAATTAATCAGTCTCCAGGAGCTGGGACTGCAGGAAAACACCGCCTAATGACTTGCAGCATGGGTCACCTGTGGCCCCTAACTCCTCTGCCTCAAGCGGACAGAGTGCTAGCCAATCATGAACCTTGGGGTCAAGCCCCAGCTATGCCACTGCCCTTGGGAAAGTTACTTTTCCATCCCCCGTGCCTCAGTTTCCCCATATGTAAAACAGATGAGGCAACTGACCTCTCTGTAAAGTATTGGAGCTGGGGATTATTATATAAGACCTAGATTATTATTTTAAGTACTTACCTGGCCCCTGTTCTCCTAATCTCTGAGCCCCTCATACTGTCTCGCGTGAGGTGGGGCTGTTACGCCCATTGTACTGGTGGGGAAACTGAGGCACGGAGCAGCTAAGTGACTTGCCCATAGGGTGTCTGTGGCAGAGCAAGGAATTGAAGCGGGGTCTTTCAAGTCCTAGGCTCACCTCCTAACCCCTAGGCCACCCTTCCCAGCAGTGCCCAGCACCTTCCAAGCGTGCTGTCCTTTTGACTGCGAGGTGCGTGGCCCAAGCTGTGGAGCTCCACGCTGGGGAGGGATGTGGTAGGGGCCCAGACTGTAAATGTGATGAAACAGGATGCTTTGTGGAGGGGTGGCTCAGCTACCTTATTCACAAGGCTTTTTCCACGAGCTCTAGGGGAACTGTTTCTTCCTTCCTCAGTCACAGCCCATCTCACCATCTGCCTGGCTATTTTTAGCTCTGGGATAGGACAGGCGGGCTCAGAGATGCGGTGGGGAGGGTGGATTTTGAGCCGCCTTGTCACATCCAGGAATTGGTCTGGTTAGCGCAGAATGGGGCGGCAATGGGGAAGTGCCCCAAGGAGGGGCTGATCCACCAGGCCACTCTAGGGAAGCTGGCTGGGTGTGAAGTGAACTGGGTTTACACCTTGCCCCTGGGTGGGCAGGGGCCTGGAGGTCAGCACTGGGATATTGCTATTAGGTCTATTACGATAGCACCTTGGCGGCCCAAGGTGCCAGGCGCTGTACATTTGGATTGCTATTAGGTGTATTACGGGAGCACCTAGCCCTATGAGGTCCTGGACCATGAGTGGGATACCTTAGTGCTACTGTAATTCACCTAATAGCTCTAAAAATGTATCTCCTGCCCAGCACAATGGGGTCCGTGTCCATGATTCCTAGGTGCTACCATAATACATGTAATAAATAGTGATAATAATATACAGCGCATGGCATGATGGGGTCTGGTCCATGACTGGCTCTTAGGTGCTACCGTAAAACACCCAATAGCAATACAAATGTAATATACTACAATAATATAATTCATACTAACAAGGCGTGAGTGCTTTATGCCTCCACACCTGGGGCAGTCAGACCCTCCAGTTACCCCAGGATGATTAAAGCAGTCCAGCTGTCTATCCCAGGCACGGCCAATGAGTCCTTCTTAGAGCCCCATGAGGATTGGTTCATTGGAGGGGTTTTTTTTTTAAACGTTTTTTTGATGGAGGTGACATTTGTTCATCCCAGCTGATGATTTGCTGGTGGTTTAATGTCACTGAACAATGGCGGTTTCCCGGTGAAATCGTTGGGCTTTTGTTTCAAAGAGCTGCGGTTACTGACAGCTTATAGGGGAAACTGAAAATGAAGGCAGTTGAAAAAACACCAACATTTTCCATGGGAAATTTAAGGGGGAACCCCCCCCCCCCGCCACATTTCAAAATTTCACATGGAAAAGAAACTGGAATTCTTCCCCCCAGCGCCGATTCCCCGAGGGGCCGACGCCGGCAGCTCTTGTTAGCCACCACGGGCGTGGGCAGGGCTCAATGCCCCGTGAACGGCCACTCCACTGGCAAGAGTCTAAGGAGCCGAAACCTGCTGCCTTGAATCCAGCTGGGCCACTGCAGTTCCTCGGTCTGGGAGGCTGGGGGAGGGATCGGGGGAGCAGCGCCTTCCCCACGAGGAACTGGGACATGGGACCCCTTTCCCACCTTGAACCCATGACTGGAACATGGGGAGGATCCAAACGCTCCCTGAGGTGGTGAAAATATTGAGTACCACATGCATTACGGTAGAACCTGGTGTCCCCGAGATTGGGGCCCCATTGTGCTGGGTGCAGCCCAGACCCCAACCGAGATTAGGGCCCCCATTGTGCCAGGTGCCACCCAGACTCTGACCAAGAATGGGGCCCCATGTCAGGGCACTGCCCAGACCCCCACCAGCCAAAAAGATCACTAATACTAGTGGGGAGGGGAAATGGGGGACACTGGGGCCTTGGTGATCAGGCGGTGGGTTTGGATTGCGATCTCCCAGGCAGGTAGGACCGCACCAAGCCTGTTAAAGCAAGTGAGGGCGGTGGGAGAGATCTCCACGCTACTGGGGCTGCTGGGGAAAGAAAGGGGCTTTTCGTAGCGTGTGGGAAGCGTCAGGTGGTCAGAAATTCCCCGGGGTTTCAAGGCTCCCGCTGTGTGTCAGGAGCTCCAGGACCCTGCCTGCTGTGAATCCCCCAGCAGAGCAGCAGGGAATCCCCTCTCTCTGGCCAGCTTCAGGGCAGGAGGTGAGCCCGAGGGCCTGCCCGGACAGCACAGGCTGTCTCCGGGTGCCACCCAGAACGTGTAGGTTCCTGTGGAGCTCTGAGCTGCAGTCAAAGCCAGAGTCCTCCAACCAGGAGGGACTTTATCCTCACAGGGTCCTCCAAGCTGGAGTATTACTACCCCAAAGATGGGGAAACTGGGAAAGTCCTTTCCCCCTCTCTGGGCCTCCAAGTCACACTGTCAGTGACAGAGCCGGGAATAGAACCCAGGAGTCCTGGCTTCCAACACGCCACAACCCTCCCAACACTGGGGACGGAACCCAGGAGTCCTGGCTTCCAACCTCCCTGCTCTAACCCAATACACCCCCCACAACCCTCCCGGCACTGGGGACGGAACCCAGCAGACCTGACTTCGGGCTCCATTCTCCCCCCCCCCCCCCCCATAACCCTACAGCTAAAAATCACCTTGTGAGGACACTGTAGTTATTACAAAAATTAATTTACGTCTATTCGAGCGGAATGAGGTCAATAGCCAGGGCCCATCATGGTAGTATCTGGCTCCCTTTGAAAGTTAAACGCAATCCCAGTGGTTAACGTTGGCCAGGGAACATCCTTTCTCCTTTTATTATTAGGATAGTTATATCATGGCAGCATCTCGTGGCCCCGGCTGAGCTCAGGGCCTCCATTGTGCCAGGTGCTGTACAAACCCCGACCGAGATCAGGGCCCCCTGATCGCGCCCAGACCCATGAGACAGTTTCCCCCCGCCCCCGCAAGAATTCAGTTCCTGTCAAGAGTGGGCGGCCGTGGCGACCCACGTCCTTGCGAAACGTGCATGGCAAGAGACTGAGAAGTTGCAGAACCGAGCCCTTGTCTACACACAAACACCGCCCCCCCTGCTTTAGCCCAGGGGTCCACCCCTGGCTTCGCTGACCCCGTGGCTGACTGTGACCTGGTCCGTCTACATGAGGAGTGCTTTGCCCGTAGAGCCGTCGCCGGGCTGTTAGGCCAGCAAAAAGCTCCTAGGGCTACCAGCTAAACGGTGCATTGCCTGGCCTGCCTTATTCCAGCGTCCTGCCCAGCAAGACCAGCTGCAGCAGGGAAAGCACAGGGGAGCTGGTGTAACTGCATCTGTGCCAGGGTGGGGGTGGCATTTGCCAGCCCAACTGCTTCGTTCGGTGATCGCAGCCCTGGCCGCCGTAGCTAAGCCAGCCCTTCGCAGTGCAGACAGGGCCTGCGGCTAGACACAGAGCCGCACGGCTCCAACTCCAGGGGTGGCTCTAAACAGAGTTCACCCTGGGCCCCTGCCCCACGCATCTGACTTACGGCAGCACTAAGCGCGGGGCCGGGCATGGCAGCAGGGGAGGGCTGGTGTAGCCCAGTGCCGGCCCCTACCCTCCACTAGAGCAGCCTCCCCGCGTCAGGCGGTGGGGCAGACCCCGGCGGCTGTTGTCCAGCGGCCCCCTTGCTCTTCAGGTTCGGTTTCTCTAGGTGATCAGCAGGCGCTGGGAGCTCCCCGCCTAGACGCTGTCCCGGTAAACGCTGGGCGAGTCCCCCCTTGGCTGGGTGCCCCTTTGGCGTGTCGCTCGGCCAGCCGTGTGTGGACGCTCTTCAGCGGATTCTCTACGCGGGGGGTTCACCCCGACCAGCCGCTCTCGGCTAGGCGCTATCCAGCCACCACAATCCTGAACTGGGACGGCGAGGGGCCTGCGCCAGCCCCTCAACTCCCTGTGTGCTCGGGGCGGAGGGGGGGGTTCAGGCCCAGACTGAGTAGGACAGACCGAGCGGGGCGGGTGAGAGTGACATCTTAGTGGGAGCCTCGCGGCAGCAGCAGACCCGGCTCCCCGCTAAGGAGACACATTGACATCCTCTCGACCATGCGCTTTTTGGCGCGGTGGGTTCCTGCAGCAGACACCCGCCACCCCACCCCGAGGCCGGTTGGGAAATCTGCAGCTTCCTTCCTCCCAGACGTGGGACCAGGCGGCCGGAGGGTATTTTTGAAGATGACGGTGACTTTCTTTTTCTAAAGGGCACACTGGAGTGACGTATGAGGTCTTTAAAGGTCACTGGGGGGGTAATCTCCCCCCCCCCCCGGCTTGTATTGTTTTAAAGGAGGCTGGGATGCTGAGCAGAAGCTCTAGCCCCTTAAGGCGGGCGAGCTCCTGATCCTTACCCCCGTTTTCTCTCTCGGCAGTGCTGAGTAGGGCAGGGCCGGCTCTCAGCCCGTGCCAGGGCAGCACGTCGCCCACTGGGGTCCCACTGCACGTTCAACCCTCTCAGATACAGCCCCCGGGAGCGGTTACCGACACCAGCCAGTCCAGGAAGAGCCAGATCAGACCACCTGGAGATCAGAGGCTGGAGGCTTCCACCCGCGGCCCCTGCATGGTGAGCCCGGGGCTCCTGCCCCCAGAAAGCCAGCCGGGCCCAGCTCCTGGTTTCCATTGAAATCAGTGAAAAGTCAGAGGCTCGAGGGGTCTGGGCCCCGGCCTGGATTCGAAGAGGTCAAGAGACGGAGAACGGAGCACGTCCCTCGGGAGCTCGGTTAAAAATCGGTGCCTTCGTTCTAACTGGCCTCTGGCTTTGACTTCCAGCCCAGGGCTCCGACTTGCTCCACCAGCTTGAAAGTGCCTTGGAGCGGCTGACGCCTTCTCCCCAGGAAGGTACGTCACATATCGAGAGCAAGCACCGGGCAGCGCCCCCCCCCCCGCCATCTAACCACCCCAGCTCTAGCCCCCGCAGCACGTGAACCTGCACATACGCCCCCCTCCCCCCAAAGAAACCACACGAGGCCAGGGTTTCGTTTTCCTCCCAAAAAAGAAAGCCTGTAATTGTCACACTAACCTCAAAACTGTTCGAAAAGTTTTGCCTGGCTGAGGCCCACAAAAAAAGCCCCCAAACCCCAAACTCACAGCACAAGATCCAATTCCTTTTTTTTATACAAGTCAGTCCCTGGCTGAATCAGGCCCCCCCACCCCCCAATCAGGAATACTGTAGTGTTACAAAATGACAATATAAATAGCTTCTTTAAAAAAAAAGTAGTAACAAGAAAACAAATCAGTAGTTGTTTCTCGACAGAGTTCATCAGTTCTTTGCATCGCCTTTGAGCTGCCTTGCCAGGCCACCCCCCCCGCCCCAGGCTCTGAGAGGATTGCAGCCCTAAGCAGCTTACTGTGGAAGTTGGGATGTAGGGGGGGGGAAGCTAGTGTCTTACACCGCAGCGGACCAGCCTGTGCCGATTGTCACAAGCCCACCGTTGGCGTGTGATGATGTAGCGGGGGGGAAGCAGGACCGCCCGGTCATCCAGTGAGCAAACCACCGCCGCCGGGGTTTCCCCCACAGCAGCAGGTGCCCGGGGAGCGAGCGATTCAGGAAAGGGGAAGCAGCTCTTCGGCCGGGGGCGAAGCAGCCCAGCGCCAGGGGTCGCCCGGAGAAGCGGCGAGCGAACGGTGTAAATTGGCCGAGCTGCAGCCTGCAATGGGGCCGCAGGGATCGACAGCAGCTGAGGAGCGGGCCCTGGGCGTGAGGCTGATTTCACCAGCTGGGGACTTGGAGCAGATGCTGCTACAGTGGCATCAGCTGGGAATAATGCTCATGCCAGTGGAAGGATAATGCCTTCCCCCGCTCCCTGTGCCCCCTGGGAACGCTCGACCCCACGCCCCAGGTCCCATTTGCTTAAAGGAGACCCCGGATCCTGAGCCAGCCCAGAGGCATGTTGAGTGGCAGGCTGGGGGCTCAGCCGCCATTGCCAAGTGACCCACAAAGCCCTTCTGCTCCAATCCGTGAGCCGTAAAGAGTCCGCCCCAGCTCGTGTGCTCCCCGAGAAGCTCAGGGAGAGGTTCGGGGGTCTGAACAGTAGAGGATGGGGCTCAGAGGGTACCCAGTAACACACCATGACTGGGTGAAGTAAGAGACCGGAGAAGGTCTGTGTAATTGAGCTGAAACCCCAAAGAAAATAAATGTTGGTTAAAAACTTTCCCGTATGGGGAGATCAGGGGATGGGTTACGAGGCGGAGGAGGAATTCAGAGCAGGCTGATGTGGTTTATGTCAGAACAGAACATGGGTGTGAGAAGCTGCAAGGCCGGGTGTACTGTACAGCACGGGACAGTCTCACACCCACAGGCTTTGCTGAAATTTAAGCGGGCTGAGAAAGGGCAGAAGGTTAAATAATGATGTGTCAAGAGCTGAGAAAAACTGCAGGAGCCCAGCCAGGAGTTAGACAAAGGGCTTGGGCTGAGAAGGGAGGGCCTAGGTACAGCACAGTGCCCGAGGGGCTGTACTGAACAAGACCCACCCCCACACCGTAAACACGTCTGGGTGTAGCGCTGCGTTTGGGTGACAGAGAGCTTTGCATCATGGTCAATCGTGGGTGGCTATGAATACACACATCCTGGTCATGCTGTCCGGCACTTCAAGGGTGTTTTAGTGATCTAGTTTATGTTTAAAAACGCTAAGGCTAAGGCCTAATAGAAAAAGAGCATGAAATAGACCTTCCCGGTCACCCTACGCAGCCATAACGTGTCACGAATTCGGACAACTGAGCACGCAGCACTGGCTCAATCCTGCTCTCCCTAAAATCCCCGGTAAGACACTGGATCAGTAAGAGCAGAATTCAGCCAGCGTGGAGTGCTCTAGAAGATCTTACGCATTAGCCAACTTTCAACAGGCCCGTGGCTGGCTCCTAACTGGACCAACTTCTGCTCTGCCCATCGCTTGCACCCCAGTGGAGCCAATTCCCGATTGCCACCCAGGGAAGAGTTAGGTCCAGCACATAAAAATACCTAACTGGACCCAGTTTCCGCCCCCCTTGCCCCTGTCAGTCTCTAGAGGCAGGTTGCCCTGTAGTTCTCTCTGTTGTAACAAGAAGCACGACTGATGTGCAGTTCTGCAGACAAGAATCCAGTGGCCAGGCAAACCAGATAAAATAACCGCAAACAATCCCCTTGTGTCTGTAACCAGCCCACTCCTGCTGCACGAGGGGGGCTCCCGCAGAGAAAAAAAAAAGGCAGCGAACTCTAACTGAAGTAGCTAAAAGCATGTAAAGAAAGACCATCCCTGTGCCCCTCCCACACCCCAGAAAGCATGCAGGGGAGGTTGTGCGGTACAGCATGCATGTTCATTGCACGGCGCAAAGGGGGGGAGGAATCCTCCTCCAAATGGCTCAGTTTCTGCATGCGGGACCCCCCCCCGAGCAGCCCCTCCCTGGCAGAATGGAAAGTAGAAGCAACAAAACGTTGGCCCAGTTCGGGGCAATTCTTCCTTTGGACCCGTGTTATAGCACCGACCTCCCCCGATCGCAGAGCGGGCTGCTTTGCGGACGCAGCTGCCAGCCTCGGACAGAAGTCTCTCTCTCAGGGGTAGGGAATCCGCCCCCCTTTCCTGGTGGCGTCAGAGATCACAGCTCAGTCCAGCCCCTGAGCTCCGAGAGGAGGCCACCCCCCGACCGGTGCTGAGCTCCCTTCCCACACCCACGACCAGACCCTGTCACCTCCTCCCTACGCTGAACTGGGCCCATGGGCTGCGCAGAGGGGGAAGATCCTGCCGGGGAAGGGGAGTCCCCTCTGGCAGGATCTCTCACAGATGATCCAACAAGCCCCTAAGCCTAGACAACTCCAGAGAGCTTCAGCACCCCTGCTCCCCCGTAGGCCACTGGGGCCTTTATTCCTCTGACCCCATAGGCTGCCCAAAACTGAAGGCAACAGGCCGGGAGCCTTGGGAACCTCCCTCCCCGACACGCGCCTGTCCCCCTGTTATGGTACAGCAGCCCTGCACTGCAGGGACTCCAGGTATCCCAGCATGCAAGGCTGCACAGATCAAGAAGCGGTGCTGCATGCTGGGATACCAGAGTCTCTCCCCCCTAAGTCTTCTGCATTCTAGCCACAGGGGGCTGGAGTGGATTGCGTTTTGGAGCCCCTGGGGGACGGGTGAGCCAGGCACTTTGGGCGACTTGGATGCAAAGGAACCTGTGAAGCAAAGAGGCCAGGTCTCTGCTCACCCAATCCCGAAGACTGAGCAGCAGCACGTGTCTAGACAACGCAGAACGAGCACGGGGGCAGCATCAAGGAGACCCTGCAGAAAACAGGCTTTAGGTTCCTGCGCGGGACGGTGTGGTGGAGACCCCGATCCTAGCAGGCAGAGGGGCTGGGCTGATCTCAGCAGTCACGCAGCGGGGGTGGAGCTGGCAGGGGGAGATTTGGGTTGTCAACAACCCAGCAACAGGAGTCGTTTGCTGCGCCTGGAGGCAGCTGCTCCTGCCAGGAGGACCCAGGTGCTGGGGAGGATGCCCTGCCGTTGGCTGCCACCCTACCGAAAAAACCCAAATGCTCCGGAGCTAAACAAAACTGCTCCTACCTACTCCGACCGCTCCTGTCCCGGCCCGGGGAAGACTGAGCCCGCAGCCACAGAGGGACAGGCAAAGCTGCTTCTAGACGTGGCTGGAAGTTCCAGTGTTGAGTTGCTTAGTGTCTGTCGCTCCCGGACCCGCCTTGTCTTTGTGTGTGTGTGTAAAAACTACCATTTTGATCAGAAATTTTAAAGTCATTAAACCCCCCCGCCCCAGCTGGCCCCCCCCACCCCCCTCCCGACTCAGCAGTATGGTGCGACAGGCAGGAGAACTCCTGCCGGTCATCACAGTAGTGGCACGGTTGTAAATCCAGTTAGCGGAACCGCTGGCCCCGCAGCGGATGGGACGCCGCCGGGGAACCCGGAGGGACCGAGAGAGCCGAACGCTCCTGCTGCTGATCTGGCCGTTGGGAGCCGCCGTCCCTGCCGCGGCGGCCAAAGGGAACGGCAGCAGCGCCCTGGAGAACGGAGGGCCAGGGGACGAGGCAGGGACGTGGCTGCTTCGGGTGGCCACGTGGGGAGCGGTTAGACGGCGTGTGCGTCCCTCTCTCTCTCTCTCGTGCAGCCGGCACTCTCATCTCATCCGGTTCTGCCGCATGAGCGGCACGATGCTGGAGGGAGGCCCAGCCTTCGCCAGGAAGGGGTGTTTCAAGAGTTCGCTGGCGGAGGCTCGCTGGACCGGGTCTCTCACCAGCAAGCGGTCCAGGAATCCTTTGAGGGAAGGAGAAACCTGCAGAGGAGGAGGAGGAAGGCGCAGCCGTGAGTCAGGGGCTGAGAAGAGCGAGTGCCACTGGGAACTAGAGAAGCCACTGCCGGAGGAGCATGACAACAGCCCTAGGCTCCCCTGAGTCGGCCACCCACCCGGATCCTGCAGCAGGCAGGAACTGGACGGTCTGGAGGTGGGGAAGGGAAGGAGGGGGAGCTATGGACTGGCACAACCTCCATCCGCCGGGCATAGAGGAAAAGCAGTGAGAGAGAAGTCTTTTGAGCTCGCCCCATTTCACCCCAGGCCTTAAGTGCCAAGTCATCTGGCCTCTGAAGTCAGACGAGGAACAGGGCGGTTGGCAATGAGTCACAGATAACACGTTACAGATCCTGGAAGACACCTCCCTATCCCCAGAGCAACCCATCCCCAGACATCAAACCTGTTTGCATGCGAGGCCCCCCCGCCGCCCACGCACCCAGAGACCCATGCTAACATGTGACTCCTCTCTGAGGGTTTTATACCATCTGTGCGCTCCCCCCACCCCCACCCCCAGAGGGGGCCAGAGGACACGGAGGCAGGGTTCCCTGGTGGAGACCAGAACGCAGAAAGCTTTTGGCCTCGGCTCGCCTGGGCACAGCGCTCTCCCCCGGGCCAGAAGCGAGTCTGTAAAATGGGTGGTTGCTGTTAACTCCTCGCTCAATGCAAAAGCCGCACAATCACTGTGAGAAAGTGGAGGTTGTGTGGTTCAGCATGCTGAAAACTACAGGTCGCAAAAGCCCGTTGAGCTCAGCCCCCGACTGTGGTCACGACCAAGGGAAGCCCTTCAGCAGAAGATCACGTACTAACGGCTCCCTTGTGTGCGTGCAAGAAGTCCCTGCTTCAAAGAGCTCAGAATGGATAATGGGTGGGAGGGGAAACTGAAGCACAACGCGGCAATGGCTCACCCATGCACTCACTTGGAGAGCCAACAGCAGGCGTGCGAGGGCACACGTACACGTACACAACATATATGGAGAACTCATGTCCGAGTTGCATATTCTCTCTCGCAATGCAGACAGAGGGTTTTAAAAGCTACATGTCTGCAGGTCCTGCCATTATCCTGTTCCACACCTAACCCGCACTGACAGCTTCATGAAATCTAACAGGGAGGGAAGGGACTTGCCCAGGGCCATTTGGCAGGGCAGTGGCAGAGCTGGGAATCGGCCTCAGAAGTCCTGCGTTCCACTCCTGTGCTCTGTCCACTCAGTTCTGCTGCCTCCCTTAGGCTCTCGACAATCTCACCCAGGGCGCATACGAACATGGGACTGGACCTACATCCATGTCTCATTCCCGGACTTGAGAGAGTCACCGTGAAACATCAACATCCTCAGGGCTGTTGTGTGTGGAACGTCCCACCCCAATGAGTGAGTGAGCAAGTGAAAGAGCAAAAAAAAAAAAAAAAACACCAGATACAAAGGAACCCGGTTCACCAGGACTTCAGCTGGCTTGCTAAAGAGTTAGGAGCAGTTTGACTAGCCACCCCTAGGAAGCCTTTATGAGGGAGAACCAGGCCCATGCACTGCGGAACACATCTGTGGGTCTCCCCCATCCAGGTTCCTGACCCTACTTAACTCCGGAGAGGAGGAGATGACCCACACGTTCTTTACCTTGTGCACATTTTTAAGTTTGGGGGGCAGGTTGTCCCGGATCATCTTCATTGCCTTTAAGGGGGGCTCATTAAAATAAGGGGGCTCTCCATCCACCATTTCGATCACCATCACTCCGAGGGACCAGATATCCACCTGCAAAGAGAGAAGAGATGGGCGAAAGGGAAGCGAAGGGACAGCGACTGGTGATGGAATGATGGGTGGGGTGGGGGGCTGCTGTACACCCAGACCTGCCCCATTGGGCTGGGCACTACAAGATGCAGAGTGATGGACAGTCTCTGCCCCCAGAGCTGACAGCGTAAATAGACAAAGGATGGGGAGGGGAAACGGAAGCACAGAAAGGGAAGTGGCCTGCCCAGTCCAGGAATAGCTCCCAGCCCAGTCTGCTAGACAACGCTCCCTGGGCAGCACATCGGTGTCCTATTTAAAATCAGAAAGACCGGTACCTTCGCCAGAGGTGAAAAGCACCACAGGGTCTCACTGAAAGAGCGATTAGGCCACACTCCCCCAGGCAAGGCAGCCTGGAGTCTGAATCTGACCAAGACGGCAGCTGCATGTTAGAAACACCAGTCATCTGGTGTAGAAACCCAGAGCCTGGCCTGCTACACCAGATGACTGGTGTGTTTCTAAATCTGTCACCGCAGGAATCCCAAACCCCACCTCCACCAGTCTGCCCCTTGATTAGCAGGGCCGTAAGCGTGTCTAGTGCTTTATTACTACACAGACATTTCTAAAGATGCACAGGAACCAGGAACGAATGCCATGAATTGAAAGCAAGCAGGTGAGTCTTCCAAAGAAAGGGACCAAATTCTGCATTCGCACCTGTAGAGTAAAACACTTTCCTTTTTAGGACCCAAATGCACTTCTGGCTCGTTTGCCTTTATACACAGCGCCACCCAGTGGCCTTTGTTGCTACAGACATGCCAGAAGCAGACGTGAACAGTCAAACGGATTTCACTGCTACGGGAATAACTGGCCACCAGACAGGAAGCCTCTGCAGGGTTTGTCCTGCCTTGGAAAAGTGAGAGAGTTTCAGGCAGGTTGAATCAGCACATCGGATTTAACTTCGCCTTACGTGATCAGCTTTTCCTAGTCAAGAGAAGCCCCCGGGGTTTGGGAGCACGGAGAGAAAAAACACACCCATCCACCCTCCCTTTAGGGTATAACCGTCAATTTCACTGCACACACACAAACCAAGGGAAACCATTTCCACAGATAATTGAAATTTACAGGCAGGCATGAACGTAGGAGAGAGTTTGCTTTAAGGCTATTTACTTTGCCGATTTTGACAGGTGATGCTGACAATTTGCAGGTTAATAGCTACAAAGCTTTTAACTTTTCGAATCTGAACCTCTACAGTCATTAAATAATTAATTGTCCCCCTCGCCCCCTTTTCTGAACCTCTCCCACAACTGTGAACCTTTAGGTCTACAAAAATTGGGGGAAAAAGCACACAAACGGCAATCATCATCAAAATTATAGAGCAAGACCAACCGAATTCTGCCCCACGGGCGACCCAGTGACCCACCAGCATCCTCACGGGGCTGCTGATCCAAGGACCAGTTAGCGTCAGTGGGATGTGGACAGGCTCCTACCAGCTCATTCCACACGAGGTGCTGGGAACTTGCTCCCCTACCCCGCGGCCTAGGAAGCTAAAGGCTGCATCCACCTTTCCATCCTGCAGCCTCTAGGGTTTCGCATTGCTGGGGTTTTACCATCTATTCATCTCCCTGCAGGGTCAAAAGGTGGATCGGAGCGCTCATGGCTGTGTTGAGGCCCCTGTTTGTATCCCCAATTGGGGGGTGGGGGGGCAGGAGAGAGAGAAGCATGAGGTGCCAAGTTATTACCCAGGCACTAAACTAGGGATCGCCCAGGCCCTGACACTCCATCATTTCCCTGACACTTCGTTTCCCTGACACTCCCATCATTTCCATTTCCCATCGCTACCCTCCCAGCTCCCTTCTCTAGCAGCGGCCTCCCTTAGCCCTCAATGAGCCTTCTCAGGAAGGGGCCAGGATGAACTTCCCCCATGGATTCTGGGGCCCTGCCCCTCTAACCTTACCTCTGGTCCATAAGGTAGTCGGGAGATGAGCTCTGGTGCCATCCAGTAGGGGGTTCCCACCAGCGACTTCCGCCGTGGGACCTCTTTGTTCACTTGTGCGCAAAACCCAAAATCAGAGAGCTTCACCTAGGGAGAGAGGAAAGGAAGAGGGTTAGCACAGGGAAAACTGCTGGCAGCCGCTATACCAGCCTGCCACACCACAGCCAGCAATCCCTGATCCCTAGCAAGAAAGAGGGACCAAAAATGCAATTGAAGTGATAACCATTAAGAAGCCACGCAGATGAATATAAAGTTTAATTCTAAAAATTGTCTAAGCTGCTCAACATTCCTGTGATCAACTCTGGTTTGCAAAGTTGTTTAGTTTTTAAGTACACAATTCCTCCCCAGCCTCCACCCGCTGTGATCTCAGTCTCCAAAGGACAAGACTTACAATCCCCATACTCAGAAATGTAAAAGTCTCACAGGAGTTTATCAGTGTAAACAAAACACCCCTGTTCACATCGGCATAACCCCAAAATGGCTCAGATTCAAAAGCAAGCTTGGCAGGCAATTAATCCATAATAGCCAGGGTATAATAGGTTTGGGCCTTCTGGATGAAAGGGATGGGGGGGGGGAAAGAGACACAGGGAATTATTGAGATTTCAAAACCCACTATTGAACGGCATCTGTTGGGCCTAGATGGCAAACATCCTGGGAAATGAGGCGGATTTGCACAGTCAGACGGAAAATGGAGCCAAAGGAAAGATCAATCAGACTTTTCTTATTTAAAGCACGCCAAATGCAAATCTGCACGAGGGACTGAAGCCGCTTCCATATGATTCGCTTGTGAGGAAGTCAGATTTGTATCCAAAGGGGTGCCTGGTGAATCGAATGGACTGCCCAGAGAGGCATGGATAGGCCAAGACTCATGCCATATTGAAATAGAGACTGCTTTGTTTCATTACACAATCATTTCTAGCTCTCGTGGATTGGGTTAGGTTCTGAAGGAAGGGTGAACTTAAGACTTGTAACCATGCTGTTAAGACCTAGGACAGAGCCTGGCTCTAGGGGCTTAGAATCATGAGCCACTGAAGGGAAAAAGAGCCAATTACTTTGGTCCTGGTAGGACATTAAAAAGATGAACAATTTTAAAATGGAACTGTTATTTAAAGAGAAAAACATGGATATTCCATTACCAGTCGGACATTTAGCTCACATTTCTACCACCCTCTGAAGATGTAAATTTGAAAAAAAAAAAAAAAAAGAGCTTTTTTGTTCTGCTTTAAAGGGGACACAATCAGCTTACACTAGCCGAAGGGTTTTTTTAACCTACTGTTTACAACCACTTATAAAAGGATGGTAACTGAACCAGATTAGAGAAAAAACTGCTTTCCCCCCCACCCCACATTTGTTTGCAGGGCCCAGTCACTTTCATGGTTTCCCCTGCACAGCCCGCTCCCCTCGTCTTCCACACACAAAGGAAAAAGCATATTCTACATCAATAGGAAAGGAGGTTGTAAAAACAAAAACAGAATTTGGAGAAATCCAGACCCTTGAGCGACGGAGTTATACCGACCTAACCCCCAGTGTAGACAGTGCTGTGATGACAGGAGACATAGCTACTGCCTCTCGGGGAGGCAACTTAACCACAGTGACGGGAGAAGGTCTCCTGTCGGTGTAGCAGTGGAGGGGAGCCAAGCCCCTAGTGACGACAGGACAGCGTGGAGTTCTCACACGAGTTAGCACATTGATATGGGCTTGTCTGCACTCTCACCATCACTACCCCTGAGCCGCCGCAGTCTAGCTAGTTCTAGTGAGCACGGCTAGACCGCATAACGCCGTTCCAGCGACGCACAGCGATGGGATTGGCAGCGGAGTTGTTCTCGGGTGAGCTGCTGCATCTCCCCGGCATTCTTCCCCCGTGAAACTCCAGTGTCTGCACCGCTTCGGCACGAACCACCCCCCTCTGACGGGCCAGCTTACAGCACCACTTAACCCAAGCTAGAGATTTTTGGGAGCTCAGGTTGTGCCTCATGCTAGCGCAGCAGTGGAGGGAGCCACAGCCAATGGCAAGAACCCTGGGATGGTGTCCCTGATGAGGCCACGCACACCTGGTGGCTGAGCTTTGTGACTTTGTCCTCACCCACAACTATTTCACGTTTGGGGACAACTTCTACCCTCAAGTCAGCGGCACTGCTATGGGTACCCGCATGGCCCCACAGTAGGCCAACATTTTTATGGCAGGACTTAGAACAACGCTTCCTCAGCTCTTGTTCCCTAGTGCCCCTCCTCTACTTGTGCAACACTGATGACCTCTTCCTGTGGGTCCAGAGGATGAAGGAGACCCTTGAGGAATTCCACCTGGGTTTCAACAACTTCCACCCCACTATCAACCTCAGTCTGGACCAGTCCACACAAGAGAGCCACTTCCTGGACACTACAGTGCAAATAAATGATTGTCACATAAACACCACCCTATTCCGGAAACCTACTAACCGTTATACTTATCTACATGCCTCCAGCTTCCATCCAGGACACATCACGCGATCCATTGTCTACAGCCAAGCCCTAAGTTACGACCGCATTTGCTCCAATCCCTCAGAGAGAGACGAACACTTACAAGATCTTTGTCAAGCATTCTTAAAACTACAATACCCACCTGGGGAAGTGAGGAAACAAACTGACATAGCGAGATGGGTACCAGAAGTCACCTACAACAGGACAGGCTCAACAAACCACCACTGGCCATCATGTACAGCCCCCAGTTAAAACCTCTCCAGCACATCATCAACGATCTACAACCTATCCTGGAAAACGAACCCTCACTCTCACAGGCCTTGGGAGACCGGCCAGTCCTCACTTACAGACAGCCCCCCAACCTGAAGCGAATACTCACCAGCAACTACACACCACAGAAACACTAACCCAGGAACCAATCCCTGTAACAAACCCCATTGCCCACTCTGTCCCCATATCTACTCTAGAGACACCATCAGACGACCCAACCACATCAGCCACACCATCAGAGGCTCATTCACCTGCATGTCTACTACTGTGATATATGCCATCACGTGCCAGCAATGCCCCTCTGCCATGTACATTGGCCAAACCGGACAGTCTCTATGCAAAAGAATAAATGGACACAAATCAGATGTCAGGAATGGTAACATACAACAGCCAGCAGGAGAACACTTCCATCTCCCTGGACGCTCTAGAACAGATTTAAAAGAAGCCATCCTTCAACAACAAACTTCAAAACCAGACCTCAAAGAGACATTGCAGAGCTACAGTTCATTTGCAAATTTAACACCATTCATTTGGGCTTGAATAGGGACTGGGAGTGGCTGGCTCACTACAAAAGCAATTTTCCCTCTCTTGGTATGGACACCTCCTCATCAACTATTGGGAGTGGACCACATCCACCCTGATTGAATTGGCCCTGTCCACACTGGTTCTCCACCTGTAATTAGGGTGACTACATGTCCTGATTTTATAGGGACAGTCCCAATATTTGCGGCTTTGTCTTATATAGGCTCCTATCACCCCCCACCCCAGTCCCGATTTTTCACACTTGCTGTCTGGTCACCCTACTTGTAATGTAACTCCCTTCTTTTCATGTATCAGTATATTTATGCCCACATCTGTCATTTTTAATCCACGCATCTGAAGAAGTGGGCTTTTCACCCACAAAAGCTCATGCCCAAATAAATCGGTTAGTCTTTAAGGTGCCACCGGACTCCTTGTTACCTTTACGCAGCGATTTATCGGATGCGGAGATATCAAAATGCGCCCTCTAGGTGTCGCTGTCCCCACAGGAGAGGGCACAGCCGGTTCACCCAGCCCCATGTGGTGCAGAAATCCTCTGTTACCGCAGGCCAAGAAGGTTTATCAGCCCACAGGCCCCCACCAGAGCTAAGGCAGCTGGGGGAATCTCACTTACCTTGCCTTCATGAGTGAGCAGGATGGAGTCGCTCTTGATGTCTCGGTGAATCACCCCTTGGGCATGGAGGACAGAAAGTGCTTTCAGGACAGCCAGGCAGACGGCGGCGATCTGCTCTTCGTTCATCCTAGAAGCAGGGAGAGGTTCAGAGCACTGACAAGCCGCCCGCCTCCTCACGCTCTGCAGTAACAGGGGGAACTGCCCCGGTGTAATGCCCAGCATCAGACCGGTGGGAAGTGCTTTGCCAGCTCTCATTTCGCCTCAGACCCACCCTAGGTGGGGGAAGTATTATCACCACTTCATAGATGGGGAAAACTGAGGAAGGACTTGCTCAAGGTCACACAGAGTCTGGCAGAGCCGGGATGGAAAGCCCCAGCCTGCCTTTAGCAGATACACCCAGCTAGAATCACTACATGAACGCAGTGGGCTCGCAGAGAACTGTGGACCAACAAGGAAGACCCGCACACAATGGGGGGCGTGGGGGGTGTCAGACAGACAAGCAACTCTGAGAGCTACTCTGCAGCCCCCCCGCTCCTAGAACAGGATATGTCTGCACCCCCAGACTCACCTCTGGGGTACAGCTATGCTCCACACTTAACCTGGGCTCTCGCCCTACCATCTACACAGGAAGACCCCTGGCCTGGGTTTGGAGGGGTTTTAAGCCCAGCTAGCTGACCCAGCAGCATGGCTGGGAGTCAGGTCTGCTGGGTTCTGTCCCCAGCTCGAGTGGGGGTTGGGGAGTCAGGATTCCTGGGTTCTGTCCCTAGATTTTAGGCTGGAACCACACACTCTAAGGTGAGGACACCGGCTAAATCACTGGAGCCCTGATAACCCTCCAACACCCTTCCCACAATTCCTCGGAAGGAGAGACAAGTTCTCCCACAACAGAGGCTGTGCTGAGACACCAGGAGTATTTCCCAGAGACCCATGGGCTGGATCCTCAGACAGCGCAGAGAGACAGTAACTCGGGCAAGGCTCTGCAGAGTGGCTGCTCACACGCGGGCCGTGCTAGCCCAGGTGCTGAGACCCAGGGAGTCCAGGCCAATCATCCGAGCTGATTGTGCAGTGTAGACGTAGCCTGTCTGGGAGTGCCGCTAATCTCTTTGGGTGGGTCATCCCTGCAGAGGGATACAGGCCCATGGGCCGGCATCTCTGGGCTAGCCACACTCGGGTTAGTGCAGCCAGTCACAGGTTCCGCGCTTCCCCCGCCAGGAGCATCGCCAGGACTTCTGGGGGCACATCGCATGGGTCTCTGTGCTGCAGGAAGGTGAGCCACTCTAGGCCTCTTTCCCAGTGAATGTGTCTGTCCTGGGCGCACAGAGAGAATTGTGGGTAGGCACTGGAGGATTATCCGCGCTCGGTGGTTTAGCCTGCGTCCTCACTGCAAAGTGCACAGGTTACCAGCCTGCATGAAAGCCTCACTCGGGTCCGCATGGGCCAGCTAGCCGGGGTTTAAAGCACCACTGAACTCAGGTGAGAGGGTCGCGTGTGGGCGGGAGCGAGGGGTTGGGGCAGCACCCGAGTTAGCTCTGCGGCGGAGAGATACCCACAAATATAACCTAACCCCTCCAGCTCCCTTCTGAGCTGCCTGTTCCCAGGGCTCCCCTCTCCTGCCCTCCGGCCTGTCACACTCCTGAGCTGGAGCTACTGAGATCCACTGGCCTGGCTGCCCTGGCCTCTGCGCTGCCAGGCACGGGCCTGGAGCCTGAGACACTCTCTCACCCCTTGGCATTTTCAGTGCTCCTTTTCTACCTATGACTTCCACGCCCGCTGCCGACCTCGCTTCAGAGGCTGGGATCAGAGGGGTCAGCTGGCCCAAGCGCGAGGCCCCAGGGCAGGATTTACCACCCCCATCGTACCTGGTGTGCGTTACGATATCCGTCAGAGCTCCGCCTTCGAGGAACTCCATCACCACCCACAGCTCGTCCCCCACCAGGTAGCTGTTGTACATCTCCACCACGTTCTCGTGCTGGTAGTCCCTCATAATCACCACCTGAAAAGCAGGGTGCAGAGTGGGGCATTATGGCCGGCACCGGCAGAGGAACAGGGCTGTGGGTTTTAACAGCCGGCAATGCAAACGTGGCTGCAGCCCCGTAACGTACAGAGGAAAAGCCTTTTTAGAAAGGAGGAGAAAATAAACCTGACTTGAATGTGGTTCCCTAAAAGGCAGGGTTCACCCCACCAGAAAAGCCACCCTAGGCCTAGCTAGAGATCAGTTGGGATGGCACTCGCTCTACAAGGAGACTGCATCGCTGTGGCATTTGCCAGGTGGACAATGGAAGTCACAGAGGGAGAGGGAACAAGGAACGCTTACTGGGATGGTTGTCCCCAGAGGACTGGGCGTTGCTGGTTCGGCGACTGGGGAGGAACGAGGCTAACGGGGACCAGGAGCACCTATGTAATTGGGGAGCCTACGTCGATTTTCAGAACTGATTTCTTGCGAGTCCAGTCTCATCAACTTTCATTGGGAATTGGGAGCCCGAGGGCCGGCTCTGTAAAGGAATTTACGCACCTAAAGATGCAGATGGGCGCTGAGTGAGATTTTTCAAAATCATCTAAGCAGGTTCAGGCACCTAACTCGTTCAGGTGCTTCTGAAAACCCTGCTGAACGCCTGTCTGCATCTTGAGTTGGCCAAAGACCTTTATCTTCAAGGTCCTGGGCCCAGGATATCTAAAAGACAAGACTAAAACTCTGCGATGAAGATCGCAGTCAGCAGCGACACCCCTATGGCACCATGAAAACTTTCTGCAATAAGGGTAAAGCTCATCTATCCAGGAGATGAGGCCGCTTTGGGGGCTGGTCTGAGGCTGCGGAACGAGGTCCCTCAGAAACGAAGTGCAAATTCCTTCTCCAACATATAGCAATGCACAGGTGTACGGGAAGTTCCAAAACATCCCCCCCAAATCCAGACACTTTCCACCCAGGGGACAGCATGACAGAACCAACCGAATGGACTGCTCCCCTTGGGGCATGCTCCCCTTTGGGGTTCCAAGCTTGCACCTCAATGAATGGCGCTGACTGCACGTCCCATGCCGCCAGCGCGCTCTCCGGCCCGACGGGGACTGCGGTCCCCAGCATCCCCTGTCCGTAAGGCAGGGCTCTGAAGAAGTGGGGCTCCCACACAGGCGACTGTCTTGGAGGGGTAAGTAGCCACTCGCTCTCCCTGGAGAGGCTCACGTGTGTTAGACATGCCACCTACCTCATTAAACAGCAGCTCACGTCTTTGCTGCTTCCGCAGGTCCATTTTCTTCACAGCCACCAGCTTCCCTGTGCTCTTGACCGTGGCGATGCAGACGATGCCCGTGGAGCCTTCGCCGATTTTAATGAAGTTGTCCAGGTAGGTCCGGGGGTCGCCCGGGTCAACCACCATCTGCAGGGCGGCTCGGAACTGTTCGTGGGAGACCCGCTGGGGCTCGCGCTGTGGGGAGCGGGGCTGCTGGGACACTGTGGTGGGGGGAGGCGGTGGAAGCGGCTGGGGCTGCTGGGAATAAGATGGCTGGGGGTTTGACTGGGGGATGCGAGTTAAGTGGGGCTCTGATGCGTGCGGGGAGAGTCCCGGCTGGGGCGGCTCTGGGTTTTTGGACCTCGGCTGGCCTGGCTGGTGGACCCTGGAGGAGCTACTGCTCCCACTTACTGGCCCATTGGACGCCGTTTCCTGGGGCCTCGCAGACCTGGGTTCTGCCTGGAAGGAGGAGGGGGAAAGAAAAGAAACAGCACATCAGCAGCTGAACGTAAAACAGAGAGGCCGGGAGATGTAACATCGACCCCAGGCTCTCTGATCGCTGACTGCCTTTGCACAGAGCAAAAGCCGCTTCCCACTCCGAAATCTTCCCTACCAATAGGCTGCAGGGAGGAAGAGGAAAAAGACGTCAGGGTGGCATCCTCCCATGGGGTTACCAGAGAAGCCCTGCTGAGACTGTCTGAAGAGAGACGGCAGTGATTAGAGTTTACGGATTGCTGAATGAGAGAGACAGAGAGAAAAGAGAGAGGAGATCTGCATTGGGATGGCTGTGAGGAGAGGGAATAGGTACGAAGAAAGGAAAAAAAAAACAAAAAAAAACCCAGACATCCAGACAGCATCTACAGGTGTTTCTACTGGACAGAGCCTTGTGCGAGAGGCCTCAAGCATCCGTTGGCATTCCTAAGGGTGCTACCGCAGGAAGGAGAGAGCAGTGATGGTGCAGGATTGCTACGGGGAGCGCGGCTGCAGCAGGAAAGGGGCAAGAGCGCGCGGCTGCTGAAGGAGCGCGCAGCGCGGGAGAGCTACCGAGAACGCAGCGGGTGTAGAGGAGACAGGTGCTGTTCCAGGAGACAGTGCAGGGAGCAAAGCTGCGTCCGCGGTACGGCAGTGCGAGGCTTGCTAGGAGGAGGACAGGGAGCCAATGCAGTGGTGATGCAGAGCATGCAGCTGCTGAAGGAGACCGGTCTAGCGGTGACATCGGCTTGCTACAGGGCTCAGAGGCAGCGGCTCAGGGAACCGGTTCCTGCAGGAGGCAGCATGGGCCGCAGAGCATGCAGCTGTTAGAGAGGAACGAACCATCTTCGCTGCACACTAGAGGTTTAACGCCATGATGCACAGAAGTGTCCAGACAAGCCGGAAGGTGGCCACCAAACCATCCCACCACCCACTCTGGCAGGCTGCCAGAAACACCCGCTTCGATAGGCCTTAAATCGATCAAGAGTGGATATACCTCATGGAAGAAGCCGCTTAGCGGAGGATTAACTTCGGAAGCAAAGCAGGAGGGGTGCTTTGCCTGGGGGGTGTGCATCTGCTCTGGGGGCACTGTTGGTAGGTTGGGAGTCAACCGAGCCCGAACACGGCTCAGCCTTAGCTGCTGGATAGTCAGGAGGACTCAGTTCTTACCTAGGAGACCGAGTCCTAACCTGGATCGTGACCTGAGGGGTGGGGGAACCTTTACCTGAGAACCTGTGCCCCTGACAGGGTCAGTCTCAGCTCGTGGATACGTATTAAAAGGCCGGCCGGTCTGCTGAGCTGTCTTCATCACTCCTTCGGAGACGGGGATGTTTGGAGTCCGGATATTGGGCCCGGAGAGCGGGCGTTTGTCCCGCGGGGATTGCGGGCTTTTCTCCCCGGTGTACGTGGACTTGGGTCTCTTGTCGGAGGAGTCATGGCGATCCCTCCTGACCACACGGTCGGCCGGCTCGCTGTAGTCCCTCTCCACCGGGTAGTCCCGCCTCCCATCCCGGTCATGGGCTCTGGGCCTGCCCTCCTTAGCGGGCTTGTGGTACTCAGGAGGGGGCGGCCTGCCACCAGAGTGCTTGGTGGATTTGCCGCTGGGCTCCTGCCCTCGGGGTTGCTGTGGGTGGGCCCGGGTCTCCTCCCTGTCCCGTTTCCTCTCCCTGTCCCGATCCAGCTCGTTCCTGGCTTCGTGGCGACTCCTCTCCTTGTGGTCCTTATTCCTGTCCTCGAGGGGCCGGGCTTTGGCCGGCCCCTCATTGAGGCCGTTCTCATGGAAGAGCTGGTCACGGCGGGGCTGGAAGGGGGGACTGTCCCGGCGCAGCGAGTTGGAGCGGGACACCGACATGTTCTCAAACTCATCCAGCAGCCAGGTCAGGGAGCCGTCCTTGGCGGTTTTGTTTCCCCGCACGATGGTCTTCGCGCAGGACATGGGATGGGGGGGAAAAAAAAAACAAAACACAGACACACAGAAAAGAAAAAAAAAAGGAAAATGAAACGACTGGTGGTGAACATGACACGCGCATGGTGGCAGCTACACGGCTCAACTGCGAGACACACCAACAGGGACAAACGAGGGGCAGGTTCTTAACGTCTACCAGTTCAAGCACACGCCTCCACGCACCCTCAACCTGCACAGCCTCCAGTCCTATCCCCCTGGCCTCTCTGCTATGCCAGCAAAGGCACTGCTCATGGGCATGGTGCCTGCTATGGCCTGAGAGGAGATCCCCACCAGCTCATCTCAGACAGGAGTCACCGCAGAGCTCGCTGCTAACCCGGGACAGATCTGAGCCTGCCTCTGAGCCAGTCAGCCGCTAGGCTGGGGGATTTTACATCCTTCCTTGCAACGTTGACTGCTGTCTTTTCTCTGCAGGTTAGAAAAGCCTGAGGAGTTTAACGCTCCCAACCCCACCTCCAATGGGAATGTGTTTTATCTAAATGCCGTGATCTCTGCCCATTTATGCAGGACGTGACTTTTCCCCACCTCCACCTGTGTCTGATGATGGCTCAGTCCTCCCGGTCTCACCTGGCTGCCCTGCCTTACCAACTCCAGCCAGGCGAGGCAGATGCTTCGCATGGGCTGCAGGTTTCTGTGCACCCCACGGTTACGAAACAGAAGGCCTTGCTCGCCTGTCTGATCACGCAGGGACACGCAGCAATTACAAAACCGCAACCCGTGCCTCGGCCCAATCTGAGCGGGTTTGTAGTTTGCTGACAAAACGAACTGGCCGGTGCACATTGAAAACGTCGCCACAACCACCCGCAGACCCCACGTAACTCAGGACAAGTGACATTTGGTTGAGCCGCCCTAGGGCGGAGCAGATCGGGCCTGGAGGCAGAGCTGTGCGTGAGCCCAGGGCTGAAAGAGCAGATGGTGCCATAGGTCTGGCTCGAGGTGCAGCAAGCAGAGGCGTACGTGACAGCAGGCTTGTGGGAGGTAGCAGGTCAGAGCCCCGACCTTCTACAGCAGAAAGGATAAAAGATCCCTGGATCCGTCAGCAATCTGTGGCCGGGGCTGTAGATATTTCTGCGTGAGGTGTCTAGCACAACCCGGCCCTGGGCAGGTGCGAGTACAACCGAACCTGCGGTCATCCCAAACAAAACCACCCCGCTCGCGGCTACAGCAGGGGGACCTGTCATGGCCCCGCCAGGAAGCTAGTTAGGGAAAGAAAGAGGGGGGAGGCGAGAGAAACTCCACCCGTGCGGCCAAAGAGGCGAGCAGGGTCTGTAATAGAGACAGCCTTCATACAACCGCCAGTCGCGTCCAAGCTCAGGTCAGAACCATCTCCACAACGGCTCATCTGGTGCCCGAATCCCACGTGCAGCGTCGAGGGCTTGCAATCAGCAGCGGCTACCGTGCGGGAGAAGAGCTGAAGCGGAATGCAGAAGCCGGAGCAGAGCAGTTGCATCTCTGCTCGTTACTTGCAGTTGCTTTCAGGTCCCCCAGCCTGGCGCGCCGAGAGGGTGGCGCAGTTTGTGGCTACGGCAGGGGCCTCACGTCAGGACCCCTGGGTTCTGCTCAAAGCCGCGGCGTGTCCCGTGCAAGAGAGCTGGTGTCTAGAGGATGGGGATCCTCTCACCTTGTTAAAGAGGGGGCGCTATGAAGCTATTTGCACAGCCCTGGATGACCCTCAGAGGGAAGGGGGGAGAGGAATGCGAAGAATTGCTACTACAGGCCAGAAGCAGAGTCACTTTGGACTGTAGTCACCAGACGCCCCACGGCCAGAGTTCTTGGGATCACAGATTATAAAGCCTCCTGGCAATTGAGTTTTAAGCCGCTCGGCAGAGAGCCGAGCCTCGCCCCTCCCTCCTGTTGCTGGTTTACACTTCTTCACTCTCCTGCATCCCAGGGAGCACAAAACACCTCCACCGCCAACACCCTGGGCTGCCCTGTGCCAAGCTGTTCTCCCTCCTTTGCAAAGCTCCAGCTCAGCCTTCTCTCTGCCCATCTCCAACTCTGCTTGCCTACAGGCAACTGCTTCACCAGCCCCATGCAGCCCAACCCCTCGCCACAAGAGTTTTCCTCCTTGCAGCAGCAGCTACCAAGAGCAGCCTTCCTGTATCTCTCCGCCTCTCCGTCCCATCTGAAATCTCAGCTAAGGACAACTCCTTTCTCCCTGGCCTATGCCCCTGTTTCCCCCACCCCATCTCTGTACTGCACGAAACCCTGCATGCATGCAGGAAGACACGCTGCATGACACAGGGCCTCAAGGCTGCGGGGCAAGACTCCCAGCGAGGTCAAGGGCCCTTCTGCCAGAGGAATCCCCAACTCGTTAGGGAAGATCCGAGGGCCGCTTCGCCTCAGGGCTGGAGCCCCAGCAGGCTCGGGGGGATTTCATTTGAGGGCCTTGGCTCACGTCTCGGTGGAGGGGCCCTGGTTTTGCTACCAACATGCCGATTAACAAAATGTGCAGAGGGAGGGGCTCTCTCCTCCAAGGGGGGCCTGGCCGACATCCAGCTGCAGCAGGCTCTCGGCAGGACTCCATTTAAGAGAGGTAAGAGGAGGGGTGGAATAATTTAGGCTGTTTATTACTTGGCGGCCCACATCCTCCAGAGACCTGCCCGTGCCAGGGCCTCTGGGATCACTGGAAATGCATGCAGGGGCTGTTGCATTTGTAACACCCTTGTGAGCACACTTGATGCCAGTAACTCCCGGGAAAGCCTTTCAAACAGGGAAGATTTTGAGGCCAGAGCGTGCAAATCACTGCATACGTTTCCCTTCCTGCCCCCAGTCAGCATGGGCTGGCCAGGCCCCTCCCCCAGCACCGGAGGCATCGGACACCCCAAGACTTTATTAACCAGGTTAGAAGCTGCGTACAAGAACGGCAGCAGTAGAAAGTGATAATACTGAGAGGGAGTTTGCTGAGGCAGGAGCAGGCGTGATCGAAGCAAGAGTGGGGATGTGGGAAGGAATGCTTGGTCCTAGCTAGGGGGTGGCACACTGCTTGGCTTCTCTCTCTCGCTCTCTCAAATACTCATCAGGGCACTGTCCAGGCGTTAACGAGTTAAATCCTAAAGAAAGCTGCGATTGTAGGAGAACAGTCCTTTCAGGCCTCAGCTGAGATCAGGGGCCCTTTGTGCATGTGGTCACACAGTCCCTGCCCCGAACAGCTCACAATCTAACTCAGTCTAGTTGGGGTTGGTCCTGCTTTGAGCAGGGGGTTGGACTTGATGACCTCCTGAGGTCCCTTCCAACCCTGAGATGCTATGATTCTATGATGGAACATGGGTGGAAGAAAAACACACTCCTTTTTCTAGGAACTGAGGCACAGAGCAATGAAGAGGCTTGCCCAAGGGCACCCGGGGAACAGAACACCGGTGTCCTGACTTTTAACTACTTCCTCCTCCTCAATCCAGGAATATTTGAGTGTCCAATCACAGACCTTGCTCTAGCCACTCCCCGAGGACTTCCTTCCCTTGTGAATCTAGAGATCTGTAAGACCAGAGTCCTACACCCTGAGGTTCCTGCACAGCGGCTGACTCAGGTTGCCATGATCCTTTGGTCTCCAGAAAAGTAAGAAGGTGCCACCTCAAATCAGGAGGCCCAAAAGAAAATTGAGACTATTTGTAGACTGTACAGTCTTTTCTTGTATGTGTCCTGGCTGCACCGGCCTCTGCTATGGTGCGGAAACGGCGGCAAAGCAAGGGAAGGGTTATAAGTTCTAGTCACCCAGACCACATCCCCAGGACCCCAGTCAAGTGGTTATATAGCCTTGGAATCCAAAAAGCACTTAAGGAACGGCTCAGCGTGATGGGAGTCATGTCCTGCGAAGGTGCCTGCTTCCTCCTTCTGCCTTCACTGCACACTGCTGCAGTCCTCTTCATGGCTTTCACAGGCAGCTCCCGCCTGCCCTCTCTCTGAACCGCAGCCCTGCTTTCAGCAACTGTATGTGTGTGTGGGGAGAGAGAGATTGGGGGGGGGTGATTGACAGCACTGGGTAATTTACGAGGGCAGTGTCACACACGGAATGACAACAGGGCTTATTTTTAAACATCTATTGCAGAGCAGTGCGGCAACCCGCCTCCCGTCCCCCACCACACCGTCGCCATCACCCCCAGAGCACCGCAGGCCATCCTCAAAGCTGCTCCCCAGCAAGATCAATACATGGGAGTTTGCTCCAAGCCTCTGCCTGCACAGCACACAGATTTATACTGTGTCGCGTCTTTCACACAGAGCGCATGGTTGCCTAGTGGCTGACATGCAAGCCTCCAGCCAGAGCAGCTGAATCTCATCCAAGCAACCCCAGCCGCATAAGCTTGAGTCCCACGCTGCCAGGGAAAGCGGTTTTGGATGCAGATGAAAGATGAAACTGCTCCTCAAGAGTCCGCGGGCCTAGGAAGACGCTTTCACCACAGCAAAGAGATTTGACTAAGAGGGCAGCCAAGCTAGGGCTGTGCTCTGAAGAGATGGACCCAGTCTTGTAGAGCGCTGGGGGAACGGAGGTGAAAGGTTCAGAGGAGGTCCCTGGCAATGAAGAACAGAGTTGAGTCCGACCAAATGCCTAGCCCTTTGCCCCATCTCAAGTAGGCCTTCCCTGGCCAACCTCAAAACGGCTGAACAAGTTCTCAATAGCTACATTCTTCTCCGCCTGCACCAATACCTTCTGCTCAAAGGCCCTGTGGGGAAGAGACCCATTATCTGTCTGGCCCAGCAGGCCAGACATTTATGGTGTTGTATATGAAGGATTACCATTGCCGTCAAGCAGCCAACAGCATCAATACTTGAGAACACTGGAAGACAGTGCTCAAAAAAGATGCGGGCACTCATGTTGGGGCAACAGCTGCTGTCATGTTTCATGCCCGTCAGCAGTCTCTGTGGGGACGTCGCAATACCAAGCTAAGGACCTACAGAACTGCACACAGTTATGCCAACTCTATCACACGGCCATGACCCGTGGGCACTGAGGAAAGCCAAGG